GGACATATTTTTGACTTCTTCCCCGTATGACCCTGCAAAATGGTTGGCTTTAAATTTACGTTCAGGGTATTTTTCAGAATAAGATGATTATCAAATCACTTGTTCACCCCAAATCAATGTTAACAATTGTTGTAGCTATTATTTGGAGCACCTTAGCAAAAGTTTCCATTTTTTGTAGGTTTACAATATTCATGGGACTCTTTAAGTAGAAGCATTGTTTGACAAGTTGTTATTTCGGAAAGCCTTATGTAGTGGCTATGATTCTGAAAACATTTACAGCTCAATCTTGTCTATTCAGAAGTAAGTCTAGACATAATTCAATTGGGCTTACTTCCTCCCAGATAAGTAGTTATAGAACTGCATCTTTACAGAGTTATGATTCGAGTGATTTCATGTGCATTTACTGCAAGTCAATAGACATAGTGTCAGGTCTATTTATGTTAGTGGACTAATCAAAAGGAAGGTTGAGCATTTCTATGTTGAGCATAGGCCTGGGCGATATATTAATAAATCGCCCAGGACCGGTATGGGGGCGGGGAGGACCATGATGACAGCTTTACTCAACGGTATATCGCGGGTGAAACCATCATGGCTCTTGAGTCCCTCTGCCTTCATCGCCCAGAGCAATGAGGGACAAACTAACTGGGAGCTGGAGGCAGAGGAACTCAAGCGGTGGTGGTTTCAGCAGTGATATACCGCTGGTGAAACTGCCACTGCACTCTCTCTCTCATCGCTCTCCCGCCCCCAGTGGAGCCTGGCCAAGGAGCCCTGAGTCCCCTGCTGGTCGTGCACGAGTGGCAGGGGACTTGGGGCTCACTCAGCTGGGGGCAGGAGTCTTTCCACCACCAGGTGAGCAGCAGGCTGGGGCAAGATGTATTGGCTTCAGCCTGCGAGGCGCTGGGGTGAAAGCTCCCATGGTGAGAGTTGCAGCTGTTTTCCCCAGCACTTTGCCAGCTGGGGCCAATGCAGCTTTTTTCAACACTGCAGTTTATCACCAAACCATGATTTTGGCTGGCGATACACCGCAATGTTGAAAACCCAACATCGCCCAGTCCTAGTGGAGCATCACTTGAGTGCTCCTTTGACAGAGACTTCACTGAAGACTTGAACTTCAGCACAGCAGGTTCCATAGTAATGGCCACCAGCCTGGATGGCTTTAAAAGAGATTCATGGAAGATGAGACCAAGGCTACTAGCTATGATGACAATCTCCTACCTCCACTGTCAGAGGCAGCATGCCTTTGAATTCCAGTTCTGGGTATCAGAAGTGGAAAGACTATTGCACTCAGGTCCAGCCTGCAGGCTTCCCATAGGCATCTGGTGGACCATCATGAGAACAGGATGCTGGAACAGATGAACCTTTGTCCTGATTCAGCACGATTCTTATGTTCTTATGGATTCATGCATTGCAGGAGGTTGGACTAGATAACCCTTGGGGTCTCCCCCAACTCTACAATTCTATGATTCTATGTCATTTTGGGCTAAGACACAATCAATGTAAGCATCTGTGTAGGGTAAGTACTTACTGAGAAGCCATAAAAAGACTAGTAGATATATCATCGATGGGCAGCATTTCTCCATAGGCTCATCCCCAGGTAGTCACAAGACTGCTGTCAGATAACTAAAATCAAATAATAAGTAATACAGAGCCAAAAATGTGTAAGTGTTACACAACCTTTTTTTTCTTGCAATGGCGGCAGTACTTCTTGGCCCCATTGCAACCCTGGACATTACTACCTGCAACTTTCTCAATTATGGATGTGCCAGTCCTTCTAGGATGGGATCCCAAAATTGATCTTTTGGCCCCATCTCTGACAGAGACAAGAGAAAGGAGGGTGTGTGCTTTCTATGGATTTGGTAACTACATCAAAACTTATGTCACAACAGGACGCATAGCAAAGTATTATTTATATTATTTTTTAAAAAAATCTCAATGTGCATTTCTAGACATTACAAACTTGGCTCTTGGATGTTGTAGTAGTGCGGTACCTTTTAGCTGGCCTTTTTATCTATTCAAGAGCTTCTAGATTGTTTGATACTATGTGTGCTTTCTACACTACCTTCACCAAATATAAATTCCAGGCATTTCTGTGTGTTCTCCTATTGTATTACTGACAAACATTTCCAGTATCTTGTGCTCAAGAAGTCAAGATTCTCAGTCTGTAGTTTCCTGGATCTGGACATTACTCTTTATCAGTGCTTTATGATAAAGTAGGGCTGTCAGGCCATGAAGAAATTTTTGGACTTACTCATCCATCTTTTTGACAGAGGATGCTGACGTAGTTGCCAAGGCCAAAGCATCTATTATACATGGGAACATTTTGGGGGAAAACACTTTGGAAGATTAAATATTTTGCACCAGCTGCATAAAGAAAACGAACATTTGCAACCTTTCAAATTAGCTCATTATACCTTGATGTTAGGCAGACGGACAATCATCCTTAATCTTTCTTGCCTGATGCCTGTTTTCTTCATCACTTTAGTGTTTATTTCTTCCTTCAAAAAATAAATGCAGACAAAACCCACTATAAACAGCCAAAACACAAACCTCTCAGATGATGAGTACTGTCTGTAACCTGTTGCTAAAAACTTATATTCTTTTGCACCTTCTCATTCTGTGATGTTGCTTGGCAGCATGGACATTTTTATTGGGCTCACCTACATTTTCAAGGAAGTGTATTGCTCAGAGTTCTGGAAGTTGCTATGGTCTCTGTGCGTGAAGAAGTAACACCTGCCTTCATAGGAACACAAGAAGCTGCTATGGTCCCTCTAGGTTAGTATTGTCTACACCAGGCGTCACCAAACTTTTTCAGCAGGGGGCCAGTTCACTGTCCCTCAGACCTTTTGGGGGGCCGGACTATATTTTGAAAAAAATATGAATGAATTCCTATGCCCCACAAATAACCCAAAGATGCATTTTAAATAAAAGGACACATTCTACTCATGTAAAAACATGTTGATTCCCAGGCCGTCCACGGGCCGGATTTAGAAGGCGATTGGGCCGGATCCAGCCCCCGGGCCTTAGTTTGCCTACCCAGGGTTTTAGATAGCAGTATTTTCCAGGCATTTCTGGAGATGCTGGGAATTCACTATGGGACCTTCTGCATGCAAACCATAAGCTGTACCTCTAAATTATGGTCCTTTCCAGGTTTTTATTTTGGGGGCAGATTTTGAACAGGAAACATTGCCAGGAAACATGGCTTCTTCCTTTTCAGATGATAGCCACAATGTTCCTTTACAAAAGCTATTTCCAAAACATTACATTGCAAAAAAAAATCAATTAACTTGAAAATCAAAACAAGGGAAAATATAAAAATGAAATGATAACATAGTGATGAGCAAAAGCATGCATGCTTCCAAGCTACATTATTTTATAGTAGAAGTTCATTGCACTTCCTTTTTCTGATAAGCTGGCTGGGGGGGGGGTGTCTGTGGAAAAGTGAAAGTGCACTTATTTATATCCATGGATGAACTTTTAAAAAGTATTGCTACAGATGTCATGATTTTGTAATACTATGCCACAAATCCTTATCAGTTTCTAATTAACTTTAGCATAGCAGGAGAGCCAAGAATACTATTTTTCGGTGACATGTTAATGCCTTTAAAATGAACACAAATAATTTATCGTGGGGAACAGGCATGCTTGGATTGCTAAGAAAGAAATATTCAGAACTTTTGGGAGATTAAGTGGTAAATGGATTTTTGCAATTTCTCTTGATGTTATGTTTTTCCTATTAAACCCCAGGAAACAGAAGAGTAAAGAAAATGCAGAATTTCCATAGGAGAATGTCTCTAAGATATATGCTGATTTAAAGTTAATTTAAAAACTTTGGCTGATATCACTGCAGTTCGCAACTTGTGGTTTTATATTCTTAAAGCATTACAAGAAAAATAACGAACAAGGTTGCCAGTAAAACAGCACATTGGCTTGGATCCAGAGAAGACAGAGGAGTTCCAGTCATACAACAGGGTTTGTCTACCTTTTTGCTGCAGATATTCCTGTCAGTAGAGATGGGGGAGAAATCAGATGCAGTTCAAATTTAAAGGAGAACCTACCCAATTCACACTTTCATATATAACACATGAACCAAAATACAAGCCATCCTTCAAAACCCACAGTTCTCCACATTTTGTAATGCTGCGCTCTGGCCACGTAATGTGTACAAAAATGCACACACTAGGGTAAAGTGTGAATTAAAATGCACATGTTCATGAAAATAACATTTGAAATGCATTATATTAGGGGGAATTGCTGTGCAAAAAAGAAGAAGGTAAAATTCCATACAAACATTAACAGAATTTCAGAGTGATGGGGGAATGTGGAGAACAAAACTTAAGACTGGAATAATGAGAAAGTGAAACCGGCAGATTCATCCATCCCTACCTGGCAGCCAGGGACCCTTCAGAATGGTGCTTGATGCATTGCGAGAGTGCTGCAGTTTCAGGGGAGAATCAATGGAAATTCAGCACCCCCTTCTTTAGGAAGCAAAAGTGCCTTGCACTTATACAAGTGGCTTTCTAGATCTCACCAATATCTTTAAAACCTTGACTGCGATGGAAACGCCACTGATTAGTTCACATCCTGAGTGGCAGCAGAACTTGGACCAAACACTTTAGATTCTGAGGCAGGTCTTTCCCAGTTCTGCAACCCGAGATCCTCTAACTGCAGATGCTCAGCTTCAAATCCGAGGCTATTTGTATATCCAAACATGCATTGTTTCACTGAACTGCAGAAGCACCCAAGTAATACAGCAGAGCAATACTACTGCTTATCTACTGCATGTTATTTTTAAGTTATAAAGTATACATCATTTCTGAAAACGTATATGAATCCATCTATGCAAAGCAATGCTTCCAACAGTGACATGTCTTTGAAAGTACAATGACTGACACAATATATTTCCCCCATAACTGGCCTTGTGTTATTTCCTTTTGGTTGAGAAACAAAGCCTTAAACTTGAGTGCAGTGATTGCTCAGATAAATGACCCACCACACACATGTCTAAACCCAACAAGCACACTTTATTTGTAACCTCACATACATGATATTTACACAGATGGTCTGCTACTGTCAATATAGATGGTTGTACGAATGGTTACTGAAGCATACAAAACTGGAACAAACGGGTGCTTTCCCTCCTAGGTTAGCATACTAAACTTGTTTTGAAATGCACTGTTGTGATCACTAGGTGTCAGTATAAGTGCTTTTTGTACAGCTAATAGTACAGCATGTAGTAGTGTCACACACACAATTTAGCTTGTGAGTACACATAAGCAGGAAAACAGGCCTCAAAATCTGCAGTGAAAAGTCCTGAGCAAATCGGAAACGGTCAACAGCAAAAAAACATTTAATACATATTTAAATTCAAAAGAGCCACTAAGCACTGCTCAAACTTTTATAAACTCTTATTTTTATCAAACTACAGAAAAAATAGTTTCACTTCACAATCTAACCATATTTAGAGCTCCGTATTTCCATACTTTCCATATTTCATAAAGAAATTGGTTGTGAATCACACAAACATCATGTTGGGCAGCCCATATAAAACGGTATTAAGAGCTGATGGCTGTGGGGCAGGGTGCACTAGCCCACCAGGACTTTCTCTCTGGTCTTCTTTCTTGTCCTCAGGGGTATCCAGCTCCGCTAGAAACACAGTTCAGAACAAATTAAAAATTTCTTTTAGCTATAGAGATATTTTAAAGAAACCGAGAGCATGATCCTGTTCAAGTTAAGCAGTTTTAAGCAAATGCTTCTAATGGAAGAGATTTAAACATGAACCCAACTTTCCTATTGACATCAAATGGATTTAAAGGGGCTTAACACTGGCTGAATGGTGCCCAGAGTTTTAATGTCTACTTGCTTAGATACCTGTCTCTTTAGGCCTGTTCAGGTGCTACATATGGTGGAGAAGGAGAACTCTTAACATAGTTTTAGTCCTGGACTATATATACATTACCATGTATGGATATACACTTGTCTATCCATATATTTATTTTTCATATAGAAGTGTTCAGAAATCACTGAAATCCCTAAGAACTGCATGTAATCAGATCTAAAATTAACTCATAAAATAACCTAGTGATCAGAAACTTTGCTAAACATTAAATAACTGTCTGAATTAAATGCCATAAAGCTAGATACTATCAAAGGGTAGCTAATCCTAATATTACCGTATTTTTCGTCCCATAGGACGCACCTAGTTTTTTGGGGGGGAAATAAAGGATTTCCCCCCCCAAACCAGGTCGGGGAAACCGAACCAGGTTGAGGAACAGCAGGATGGCGGCGCTGCGTCTCCTTGCTGTCCCCCGAGCTTGTGGGGCTGGCCAATGTCTGTCCGGCGGGCGGGGCGCTCTGCTTCAGGGTGCCCCTCGCGCTGGGTGGCAGGCTGCTATGCGCAGCGTGGGGAGCCCTTCAGGGAACTCCCCAGGGCTCCAATACGCTGAGGATGTCTGCCCAGCACGAGGGGCGCTCTGCTTCAGGGCGCCCCTTGCGCCGGGCAGCAGGCTGCTATCCGCAGTGTGGGGAGCCCTGCGGGGAACTCCCCAGGGCTCCAATACGCTGAGGATGTCTGCCCAGCACGAGGGGCGCTCTGCTTCAGGCTGCCTAGGCTGCGGATGTGATCCCGAAGTGCCGGGTGCTCTGCTTTCAGCGCGCCCGGCGCTCCAGGAAGCAAGCTGCTATCTGCAGCCTAGACAGCCCTGCGGTAACTCCCGCAGGGCTGCCTAGGCTGCGGATGTGTTCCTGAAGCCTGGAGAGCGAGAGGGGTTGGTGCGCACCGACCCCTCTCGCTCTCCAAGCTTCAGCGAAAGCCTGCATTCGCCCCATAGGACGCACCCAGATTTCCCCTTCATTTTTGGAGGGGAAAAGTGCGTCCTATAGGGCGAAAAATACGGTAACTGTTGGGAAACCATCTCTTCTACCTGACAGAGAGAAACTGTTATTGGCTATATACATACTATAACTTTAAAGGGACTGTAGTTTACCCCAATAGAGAAACAGTTATAAGCAACTCTTAACAAACTACAGTGCTCAGAATTCTCTGAGGGAGGAAATGTGGTTCCAACAACCTTTGACAGCAAAAGGCATCCCTGTCTTGAACTTACAGAAACCTCTGGTCACTGGTGACAAGTAAACATTCCTGTTACAAGTATCTCTAGTCATTTCCCCCAAGTGCAGCAAATAACAGGTTTGGGGAGCCAATTTAATTAGGAAAACAGAGCAGGGATGGCGTTAATCCCCCTTCTCTGGTGCCACAGTCGAGGACTGTTTTGGGATCCCTATGTCTGCTATTAATTTCTTTTCAACTGTGAGAGAATCTAATTCTGGATCTCCTGTGTCACATTCAGCTTGGACCTTTGAGTCCTTTTTTGTAGTAAGTAAATAGGAAGAACGTTGGCATTACAGCTGCATATAGAAATATAATTCAGTTATTTTGATGGCTCAGCACAAACCCAATATTCAGAGGAGCAACTGTTCTTAGCACTGGAGCTATGTACAGATATGCCCCTTTGGGGAAAAACAATACCTTCCTTATGGGAGACATTTCACTCTCTTTTTCACACACACTCTTTTAAATATATGCATCTTTCAATATGTGATTTTTTTAAACCCTGCTTGGTGTCTTCAATATGAGGTTAGCAAATTGCTTAGATGAGAGTGATACCATTTCTACCAGCAAGCTCAGCAGTTCCGGTGCTTGTAATATACAATATAATGGCATTTTAATCAAATAAGAAAATGGTGAGAAGAAAATGGTGGAAGATTTTGATCTGTTCACATTCCAATCTGTGTACTTTATTTTTAAAACTTTTAAATCTTACTTTTAGGAGGTTCATCCACAGCACTCTTACTCCTTTGAAGAAAACGAACAGCCTGTCCAGTTGTCTTGCCTACTTTGATAAAATCTGCAAAGAAACATAGTAGTTTTATAATTGAACACACTCAAAACAAAACATGGAAGCGGAACCTGCAGTTTTCTTCTACATTTGCAAATGACAGCTCAGTCTTAACCAGAGTTAGCTGCATGGAAGCCCACTGAAATCAATGGCCTTTTGAAATCCTGTGGACCAAGCTATACTTCAGATTATGCACACATTTAAGTATGAGGTTAAATTGGTCACATCTGTTTTCAAGAAAAAGCAATACCGAAGCCCCAATTGGAATGTGTTCCTTATCCCATCAAGGTCCTGCACTGCCTTCTTGCTAAAAGTTGTTCCCCAGCTGCTATTTGATGCAAACAGTAAGTACTATTTGGGACAAATAGCAGCTGGGGGAGTTTTGATAGGAAACCAGCCCAAGGCACAAATTTGGATTGGGAGCATGTTCCCACTGCTCTAGGCCTTTCATGAGTACAGACCCCCAAATGCCCCTACTTTCCAGGGACAGTCCAGGATTTACAGAAGCAGTCTTGGTTTCTGATCCAATCCCAGAATATCCCACTTTTCCTTAGGACGTCCCTCTTTTCATTGGAGAAATGTTGGAGGGCATGGTAGGATAGCCCTATTGTCGTCAGAGAGTATGGAGTTATGTGACCCGAACTAAAGAGATAAGTGCAACCTATAGTAGACATCTGAAGGCAGCCCTGTATAGGGAAGTTTTTAAATGTTTTATTATGTTTTTATATATGTTGGAAGCTGCCTAGAGTGGCTGGGGTAACCCAGTAAGATGGGCAGGGTATAAATAATAAAATGATGATGATGGAATAGGACATCCCTGTTTTCATCGAAGTATAGAAGCTTCATTTGTTCACATCTAAGCATGAACACTAACGTCACCATTGACAAGAAAGGCATTAGGCTCAGCTGTTTTATGAAGGTTGCTATTACACACTTTCACATAAGCTTTCCATTTTTGTCGCATTCTCTTCCAGCGTCGTATACCATTGGTTAGCTATGACAGAACGCACTCCAGCAAGGCTCAGAAAGATTGTTGTCTCTGTTGGCTTTTCCAGAGAGAGGCGTACAGAGCTAAAAAAAGAAAAGAAAAAAAAAATGCAATGAATGAAAATTACAGGTACAGACATTCTTAAATGACCTGACCAAAAGAGACAAAACCCGTTCATTCAAATTTTATCAGTTCACAAGAATAGAAAGTGAACTGCATTTTATCTTATCTTTTTCTCACCAACATGTCTGGCATTAAATATTTTATTTATTTTCTACAGTATCTTTATAGAGTTCTCTGCGTTTCTTACAAGAAATAAGTTTAAAAACAATTTAAATACAAAATCATCATCATCATCACCATCATCATTTTATTTGTATGCCGCCTTTCCATAGTTAAAACAATGCTCAAGGCGGCTTACAACATGACAAGAATTGCATAATTACTAACATAACAAAAGTCATAAACAATAAATAAAACACATCAAAAGGTACACAACCAAATGGAAAACAATTTCCACATAAATCATAAAATCTAAAACTAAGAAGACAGCATTAATATCACAATTTAAAATGACGTAGATAAAAAATAAAAGCAATTTAAAAAACAAAACAAAAACGGAGCCCTCTCTGCTCAGCAGCAGCAGCAGCACTCCTTTATGGAGCCTGTCAGGCCCCGCCCCAAGCCAGGCGGAGAGAAGCAGGGCATAAAACATATAGGGACTGTGGTCCTGAGATCGGGTTTAGCTGGTCTTTAGCGGGCGGACAGAAACATAGCGTTGCTCTCTGGGGCCCAGAGTCTGCCATGATAGGCTGCAATCATCGCTCACCCTGGGACTGGGTGAGCGGCCATTCTTGACAGCAAAGAATGAGGAATTTAAGTTGCAATCCTATGCACACTTTCCTGGGAGTAAGTTCCATTGAACTCAGTGGCACTTACTTTGGAGTAGAGGAAGTATAGGACTGCCTTGCACATAATGACTTTAAAACTTATGCCAATCTTACCTCTTAAACCCATCGAGGTTTATCACTCGTGCAGTACTTGGTTTTGAATGCACGAGATCTGAAAGTATCACCAACTGACACTCTGTGGGAAGGGAAGCAATAATATGAATGTTATACTTCAGTAGCAAACCAAAGATACATGAGAAACTTGCTTGTCTAACAAGGCTTTAATATCCCACATTCCTCACTGCAGACCCCTGTGAAATTATCCAAAATGGTATGGTGTGTGACATGGGGGCTGTGGAATTTAGGTAGAAATCAGGGGAGGCAGTGATGGAAATTGGAAACCCCAAGGTTTCAAGAAGTATTTTAAAAACCTTGATAAAAGACCTCAAGGGAACAACTCCCTAACAGTCAATAAGGACTGAGCATGCTCAGTGGTTGTGGAATGCTGATCAACCAGGGGTAGGTAACAGAAAACCTGGTGCAGTGGCTGTGGAACAAAATGTAGCATGTTGAAGAAGCATGGCTGATGCATTGGAACAGTGAATGGGAGCACTGCAAAGGGCCACATTTTGTTTCAGGTCTCAGCCATTCACTGCTATGTTTGCCTTGCTAGTACTGCCATCAAGATGTAATAAAACTGTGCAGTGTTGAGCAGTCAGTTGTTAAGGCACATCATCCCAAGACCACTCCATGGACCAGAAATTTGCTCCATTATTCAGAAAGTGTGCCTCAAGGGATGACCCCCCTCAATACAGGGTTGTAAGTACCCCATCTGATGTAAATCTCATGCTGTGGGAGCGGCTAATGGCTCCTTTCTGACACCTTAAAATTCCCAGGCCACATGAGAGAGGCCCATGCTGAGCCTCCCTCTTCCCTACATCAGTGGTGCTCCCAATTCCAGAAAAACAAAAGCTGACAAGGGGATGAGGGGATGAGGTCCAATTTGGGTGCCCAAGCTTCTGATTTTACCTATACTATGTAAGAAGAAACCATGCTTACAGCAGCTTTTGTGTTAATAATGTGATTTGCACAGGGTCCACAAATTAAATCACCTTTGAATGACAACTTTTGCAGAAAGCTGATCTAACACTTGTAATAATAAAACCACATATTTCAATCTGATTAAATAGAATTTTGTTATGATCTGCAAGGAAAGCAAACAGCCTTTTTCAGCTTCATAAAATCACCTGGGATATTCATAGCAACTAATCTTTCAAGTAATGTATATAAGAGAAATCTTGCCAGTCCAGAGAAGATAAATGCACTGCAGTTGTTCAGTAAGTATTCCCAGTCTGCTTGACTGAAAGAGGGAGGGGAAAAAGAACAGTCAAAACTTTAGTCTGCACTGTATGCTATTAAATTATATTAGCATGATGTTCTGCTACTTTAAGTAGCTCAGCTCAGCTCTAGAAAACATTACATTTAAAGAAATATGATCACTTTTCATCAACTATGTGCCCTAGTGCCAGGAATACAGTCGTACCTTGGAAGTCAAACGGAATTCATTCCGGAAGTCTGTTCGACTTCCAAAATGTTCGAAAACCAAAGCATGGCTTCTGATTGGCTGCAGGAAGCTCCTGCAGCCAATCAGAAGCAGTGGAAACCCCGTCGGATGTTCGGGTTCCAAAAGAACATTCACAGTCCGGAACAATCACTCCGGCTGGCTGCATTGCTGCTGTTTATCAGGAGGCAGAGAGGAGTAGTGGGGAAGCAGTGACAAGGTTAGCACAGAGCAAATGCACCACTGGGAGCATCAGAGAGGCACTTGCACTGCACTGACCTTGCCGTCCCCCATCTCCCAGTAAGCAGCAGCAAGATGCTGACTGGTGGTCAGGTGAGTGCTGCCACCCCACTCCACCTTACCCCCTGCTACTGTACGAACTGTGCATGAAGAGGAAAATAATTTAGAATTCTATTTTTACGGATAGGAAGAGTATCTGCATTAAGTGTATAAGGGCATGCCTGTGCACGTGCTTTCTAAATTCTGAAAGTAGCTGCCCACTGTTCCCTGTTACTTTTCTTCCTTTGGTTATTTTTATTGCAAAGGACTGACACGCTCGGGCTTAAGAAGGTAAGATGAGCCTGCTGGATCAAGCCAATGGCACCGCATCCAGCATCCTATTTTCACAATGGCCAATCAGATGCTTATGGAAAGAGGAATGCAAGAAACCTCTCTCCCCTCCTGCAGTTTGCAGCAACCGGTATTCAGAAGCTGACTGCTTCTGCCTGTGGAGCTAAAACACAGCCATCAGGGTTAGCAGCTATGGGCTGAGTTTGACTAATCTTCTTTTAAAGTCATCCAAGTTTGTGGCCACCAGTGCCTCTTGTGGGAGTCAATTCCATAGTTAAGCTATGCACTGTGTGAAGAATGCTTTCTTTTGTCTGTCCTGAAGCTTCCAGCGTTTAGCTTCATTGGATGTTCCTGAGTTCTGGTGTAATGAAAAAGGAAGAAAACATGTCTCTCTATCCACTGTCTCCGTACCAGGCATAATTTTACACACCTATCCCAGGTCACTCCTTACTCACCATTTGGGCGGGGTATGTATAAACAAACAAACAAACAAATAATAAATTATTATTATTATTATTATTATTATTATATTTTTTTTTCTTCTAAACTAAGACGTCACAAAGGTCGAGCAACTTTAAGCCCCATTCTTTACAATGGGAAAATTTCTTAAACCACACACTGCAATCAGTGGGACCTGAAAGTGACTAAATTTTGGCTGGGTTCCCTCCCCGCAACAGCCTTGTTTTGACTTCTTTACTAGCAGCATATGAACAAACATATTAGGCATTTGTTTAGGTACTAAAAGAAAATGTGCAAAATTAATGAGAAACAAACTTACATACCTTGCAAATTGCGTGTTACCCATAATTCCATCCCAACGGAGTGTAAACGGCTCAAATTTCTCTTGGAGTGTCTTAAATTTTTGTGCAGGATTATCTGATTCTGAGCATACAATTTTTTGTCATTAGGAACATAGGGTTTTCCGGTGCTTACACACCCACCCACTCTGTATAATTTTAAGCAGCTGTAGCTTTTAAAAAGAGTATTACAGTAGCTTCGTAAATAAGCCTACAAAGGTTAGTAGCCTACCAAAAAAAAGTTACTAGCCTGCTAACAGGGCAGTAGTCTGTGTTTTCATGCTGACCATAGAAGACTGGAAATGCAGGCTTCTAGCAACTTAGGAGAGTACGGTTTGTTTGTTTTTTAGTTTTTCTTTTAAGTGCCTTCTACCCAGTGGACTATTAGAGGAGGGTCTAGATTCTTCTCCGCTAGCCTGCTTTGTTTCCATGTTGGTTGCAGAGGAAGGATTTTTCTCTTTCCACAACTAGCACACTAAACAAGCATGCTGAAGGAGTAGGCTCAGAGTGATCTGTCGTTCCTCTGCCAGCCTGCTCGCTTGCCTATGGCAGCAGAATGGTTTGTTCAACATGGAGCTTTCTGCATGCAAAAAGAGGACCTTTAAAAAGTGACTTTCTTTAATATATAAAATAAAACCAGGTCATTCTCTTTCAACCATAAACTGCAGCCACTTTTAGACCTACATATTAGGTGTGCAGTGTTTGAAAATGGTTTCACTGATGCTGAAAAAAAGAAAATAGAGTTCTAGGTTGATTTCTACTACAGCTATTGTAATGGCAAACAAGTTATAATATACAAACTTTACCTCTTTCTGTTACATCATTATATGGATCCACAACATCTGAGACATACCATTAAGAACATGCAAATGAAGGGTGTCAAATTTAAATATAATTAACTACATACAACTCCTCCCCCTGCCTCCAGTTTCGATTGGGTGCAGGAACCAGTAATAAAGCCAGTGGCACCCTCAGCATCCAATCCTAATGTGTCACCTTTTGATATCTTCCCTGAAGAAATCACCACCAGCAGTTCCCTCCTTCTGCTTACCAGGCCCCCACTTTTGTGCCTGAAATATACTCTGAGTCAAGTGTGGATTTCATGCTCTTTATTCAGCTCATAGTAGTGAGGAATGAATGTTTTCCCAAAATATCTGCTTTATATACATTATTTACACAATGGGCCACACGTGATTGGCTAATTCTGGGATTCTCCTATAGGCCAATCAGGTTGTGGATTCACTTCCACCTGGAGCTGGATTGGGTGGCTCCTGCGGACCAATCATACTGCTGCATTGTTCTAGGACCAATCAGACTGCTGCATTCTGGACCCTATTGTTCTAGGATCAATCAGACTGCTGCATTCTGAATCCTCTTGTTCTAGGACCAATCAGACTGCTGCCTTTTGGATCCTATTCAACTCAGTACATAACAGTGCCTAAGCAAACTCTTTACCCTTCCTAAGTCAGTAGCATCCAAGCTCTCTTTCCCAAGGCCACTGCTTGACCTCCATAGTCCTCTCACATGATGAAAACACTTCCCTTCCATCTTTGCATCTTAAGTATTGTCTAGAAAGCAAGTATTCTTTTCTACTGTCCAAAGGTCTCTTTCACACCAATTCCACACCACTTGCTCTCGACTGTAAAGGTTAGCAAACTGAAAGCTAGACACTTTCTATACACTTTGACACTTGCAATACTGAAGAATTTAGTAGCAACAACAGTAGTAGTAATAGCTGGCATAGGGAAGTCAGTCCGATTGCCCTACAAGCTTTCCTAGCTTTGAAGACGATTCAGTAATTGACACAGGCAGTAGCAGTGATGTGGCTCGATTGCTGAGCTCAAGGGAACGGGCAGCTCGGATGTAAAACTCATAATTTAAGTATTCCATTTGCTAATCAATAGCTTCTGAAAGGATACATTTAACATTATGTATATCAATTGGAAGACAGTTGGGTGGCAGAACACGGTTAAGGTTAGGCTGTTGAATAAGAAACAGTCATAGCTTTAGTATGAAAGAACACCCACAGCACAATTCTTAACTTCTTTTCTTAGAATGAAAGCCTAATAAGCTCCATTGGGACTCACCCTCTGGCAAGCATGCTCAGGACTGGAATCCTAAGTAGCATCCATCAATACTGCATAACACTGTTTTTGTCATAATAACATGGAAAATGCTACTGCGTATAACTTTTGTGGAAGATCCCAGTTGCCACAAAAATCATGTCAGAGTGTGCATGCCAAGTTGTGATTGTGGGGAAGTAATATGAATAAATTTCCTGATCAACACTACTTCTCAAGCACAGGGATTGCTCATGCTATTTTGCTACCCAAGGCAGAAATTAATTATATGCCCCCCATCTTTGTTAGGACTTTATTGATGGTTTTCTCCTATTGTAGTCCCTTTCCTAAGATTAAGACTTGGGAATAATAGGAACGCATAGGGGAGGTGAAGGAGGAAGAACACAAACAGCCTCCATATCTCAGAACTTGCTGTCTAAAGCAGGGGTGGACAATCTGTGGTTCTACAGATGTGGGGCAACAAGTCCTATCATCCCTGACTAAGGGTGATGGGAGCTGGAGTCCAACCAGAGCTGGCCAACCATTTGGATGCCTGAGCTGAAGGACTAGATTGTGCTTCCTCCATTACATGTTCTAGAACCTACTGGACTGATAGCTGAATCTTACTTCAGCACCAGTCATGGGTAAGAATAATAATGATAATAATACCCTGCCCATCTGGCTGCGTTTCCCCAGCCACTCTCAAGGATAGAAGTCTAGCTTAGGCTGTCTAGCACACATAGCCCTATTTCCCAGCATCTCACTCCTGGTGCTTGTCTCAGCATCTGCCGCCTGAGGTGTTTGTCTCAGTGTGCCTAATGGTAGGACTGTCTCTGAGTCCAACAGAATCTAGAAGTCCACAGGTCCCCCACTCCTGGTTGAAAGGGTCTAGGATGGAGTGAAGAATTATATTCACCCTTGAAGAATTTCCCAAGATTTTTGACACCCAAAACTGCCTATATTGTCCATTGGGTTGGGACAGACTATTGATCCCTTTTTCAAGGCAACTTTATTACTAAAAGTATTCGCAAGGAATATTGCCGTGTGCTGTTTCTCCAGAAGTGCAGCAGGAATTAATGATCAACAATGAGAAGAATTATTATTGTGAAGTTTATAGGTCTTGTTTTGTAACAAAAGGTATAACAAGACGAAACAAGGATACATGCAAACACAATGCATTATACAACTGCTTCACTTATATGCATATTAAAGTTAAAATTAAACTATTAGAAAGTTGCAGAGTTTTTGGATCTTGAACAGGACATTATGATACAGCTTAGAAATGCATCAGATATCGTCAAAAATATATACTTACTACTTTCACACTCTTTCTGTGTTCACCTTTTGGTCTTGATTCTTTTTTCCCATCCTTTTTGAACTCATTTTCTGAAAATGTTAAAAGCACAATCACAGAATAAGATATGACACCCTCTCCCCAATCCCTGCAATGTTTTCCAGAGATTGACATACTTCTCATGGTCATCAATATATGTGAATTACAGAGATAGTCTGAAGGCTTATTACAAGTAATTCTTCTGATAACCAACATTTGAATTCTAACATTGATTGTAGACCACAATACTTTTTCACAGGAGTCTCTACATAAGAATAATAGAATCATAAAATTGTAGAATTGTAGAACTGGAAGGGACGCTGAGACAGTTAATGGTGAGGTACAAGGCTACTTTCTAAGCAGAAATGTAAAATATATTATCGTGATACCAACCATCATCAAAAAGGGATTCAAAGTCTATATCTATCTATCTAAGATTATATTTTCAAGTATTTATAAACTTGTCTGTACCTGATTCGTCTTTATGTAAGCGGTTGTAGAACATTTGGAGAGAAAAGTCTCTGGACACAGAACTTATTGTCTTTTCTTGAAAGATATTCAGACCCTCCAAAGGAAATTCCAAAAGACATTTGTCCACCAGTAGTATTATGCATTCTCCTATATCTTCAATGCCAGCTGAATGTAGGAAAAAGGGGAAGAAAAATAATTCTCAATAAAAGAATAACAACTGTTCTTAAATGGGAAGCATTTTTTCCTTCTGCTCAGATAAACTGACTCTGTTTTCATCCCCAGTTAAGATGAAGAGATAAATGAAGTCTTTAAACACACACACACACACACACACACACACACACACATATTTGGGAAGCCCCGGAAAATCATGCAGAATATAGGACTTCTTGGTTCGGAGGTAGCCAGTGCCATAAATTAATCAGAAGTCAACATTTCTTTCTATACCCAAATATAATGGCTACATTCAAGCACAATAAACTGAGTCTTGGGTTTGCACACTTTCTCTCTTGCTTCTTGCACATGCAAAGGGAGGAGATTAGAAGTGTCTGCTCCTAGATTGAGGCAAACCATAGTTCATTGCCTCATCCACACCTAGAAATCTGTAATTTGCTCAAACCATAGGATGAAACCATTATTTGGGCTTCTGGTTTGTGAGCAACCTATGGTTTGCATAAACCAGGAAAGGAAATTTCTATTGTCCTCCCAACATGCATGGACTATTGGGAAATGGGAAGAGGATTCACAAGCATGCAATGGTTTGTCATCATGGTTAAATATAAACAAAACAATCTGCCTTCGAAAGTGCATAATTACAGAAATCACAGATAACTTATGCTAACCTGAGAATACAATACTTTATACTTTGAAATTTTGTAGCAAACTATTTATCAAGAAGATAATTTTATTGGATCGTTTGACACTATATATATGCTTTAGAACTTAAGACATACCTGGAGCTGTAGTGGCTTTCTCCTTATTTTTAGTTTTTGCTTTCCCTGCCTCACTTGCTTTGCCTTTTCCTGAGCCATCTGCTTTAGTTTTTCCTGGACTACCTTTTTTGCCTTTTCCTGAGTCACCTGCCTTAGTTTTACCTGAGTCACCTTTACCTTTTCCTGAATCAGCTGGAGAGACTGCTGGACTTGGCCTGAGGAGACAAAGACCAGGTCTTAACAATATTGTACAGCATATAATTTTTTAAAGAACAGTAACAGGAATCAAATACTTGCAGTTTGTTTCATGTTACCTGCAATAGGAAAAGCAGAACTCACCTGGCTTTATCATACAAGAGAAACATGCATTCTCATAGTTTTACTTAAGGTTAACATAGACTTGCATAGTTCTGATGGTTCCAATGACCTGAATAAATTGGTATAAAATTACAGATGATGCTTCTACCTCCAGGCAGCAGGTACTACAGGGACCAAGATGAACCAAGCACATCACTGGCAGTAGTGGCTACTGGAAAGATACCTTACTGTGACACTGCCAATGCCTGAAAAAATTAGGTTCCAAAGATTGTCTGACATGTGTCTTTTCAAAGGAAGTAGAAGGCTCCTACGGTGCAGATTTGCTCCTGCACTTCGATAAGAAATTTATTTTATTAGGTTTGAGAGGTTTTTCTTGTAATGGTCTATAAAATGGGGTACTAAAAATGGCCTCTTAGATTCCTGTTTGCAGTTCTATTTGTTCAGAATGAAAACAACTGTGCTTTTGTCAGCTTCCTTTACTATATCAGAATTGCTTCAGAGGCTGGGAACAACATTTATTTCTTAAATTTATATACCACCCTTCATCCAAGTGTGACACGGTGGTTTATAGTATAAAAACACAAAAATACATTGTAATGGGTTTAGGGGTTGCTCGTGCGTAAGTTGCTGCCACTCCTGGCTAGGTTAGCTGGTTAACCCTTTCTGACTGAACAGCCTCCAGCATCGTGACTGTCTCAGTCGCTGGCAGAATCCGTCAGTGGGCGTTTCTTAAACTTCTTCCAGCACAAAAGTTCCTTGACGCCAAGTCTCCTCCTACTCTCCCTGCGCAGAAGACTTCCGCGCAGGGAGGTGTGGGCAGTGGAGTACCCGTACTCTCTCCGCTGGTCTCCGGCGAGGAGTCTTGGAGCCTCCTCCCTGATTCCCCCATTTGCCCCCCTTCTCTACTGGTGTTACGCTGATTTCCTTCCCCAGCAGACGGGCTCCCTCTCTCCCTACTGGGACCCTCTCCGCCATCCCTTTGGAGCCTTCCCTCCGCTTCCAGCTCCGATGGCAGTTCCCTGACATACATACTATAATAACAAACAAAATAATACCCACCCCCCACTGTTTAAAAGGCCAGAGATTGTTTAATTAGCCAAAGGCCTGGGAGAAGAGGAATGTTTTTGCCTGGTGCCTAAAGATATGTAACAAATAAGAGAAAACATTTGAAAAAATACCTCAGCTCAGAGAAATCAAATTGTGACAATACAGGTTTCAGATATTCTTCTACGTCTTTCATGATAGCCTGGAATTCTGATATAAAATGTTCTTCATCTTCATTTTCTGTTTCCTATGATATAAAGTAAAACAGTGATTGATTGATTGATTTTTAAAAAGGCATAAGAATATCAAAGACAGAAAGGAAACTGAATAGCCAAATCGAAATAGAACAGTCATTAAAATTTAGTAATGTTTAAGCTATCCCAGGTCTAAACTGAACAATCACCTTATTTTTATGTATGTGTTATTTTATTTGATAATGTGTTCTCTAATGAAAACACTGGTGCAATAGCTGTAATATTTATAAAATAATCCACCAGATTAGTAGTCGTCAACCTTTTTGGACCAGGGACACATCTTTAGCCAAAATATACTTTTGGATACTCAATTTTTAATTGTTTGTCTTATATTAGGATTTAGGCAGTGCTGCCGTTATGACTGAATTTAGATCCGGCTGTCACCCAATGGTGGGTCATGACTAAAGATGATGGTGGAATTCGCTACAGGCAGACCGAGCATTGGACTGGCCTGTAGTCTGCTTGGCTGCTTGCAGCGGATTTCTGCGGATTTCCTTTCAACCAGTTTGTATTTACTTTTACTTCTGTCTCATTGAGTCCCATGCATGAATTTTTGTAATAACATTATAATAGTATTCATTAGGACGTCATTAATAACAACATTATTTTCTAAAAGCTAAAAGGCCAGATTCGGAGTAGTTAAAAATAGCAAAGTGGGAACTGAAGCAAAATGGTGCAGGTGATTGGTGTATCAAACTGGGATCCAAACCAGTGTGAAGAATCAGATGACACCCCTAGTTCTGATTCTGTAAGAAAAACCCTGGAGCCTAATTTGATCAGTGGAATGTTTGGTATCTGGTGGGCGGGGCTTGTGTGTCATGCTCCGGAATCAGCCCCTCCCTTCATTATGTTCCATTAAGTTTCAAATAAGAGGGACCAACTGTCTTTTCTTTTTTTCTTGCCTCAGACTTGCCTCATGCTGTTGTATTTAGTTTCTCTCATTATTGTTACTTTGCTTATTATTTCTTTATTATATTCATTATAATAAAATATATTATATTATTATTATTTATTATTAAAGCTTAGTTTATATTTAAGTGAGCCCCTTAATTTTCTCAAAGAAAAAGAAACTCTGCTGAGGAGAGGTGTGGAATGTCCTAAACTGTGTGACTGAGGGGATATTCCCAGATTGATTTTGTTAATCACTCCCCACCTCCACAACAGACTCCCCAGTTGAAGACCAATGCCCTAGGGATAATAAAAATAATAATTATATTATTTATACCCCGCTCATCTGTCTGGGTACTAGCTGACACTAGTGAAATTATTATGGACAACAACTTACACTGTATTCACAAGAGGAAAAAGTAGTTATTAAACATTACTGTCTCAGTACATCAGGTGTGAAAACACCAATATGAACAAGTGCAGTTCTTACAGTACTTTTTCTTCCTGTTTCTACTTTGATGACTGATTCTTGAAGTTTTTGAAACTCATTTTTGTCTTCATGGCTTCTCTCTGGTGATGGTTGTCTCCGAAGACTCCTCATCCTTTCATCTTTCAAAACCTTTACCTTCTCCAGCAAATTCATCAAAGTATTAGAATTCACCTGGGATCGCACAATTTTAGCCTGCACTGATGTAAATTAAAATACAAACCTATTAAAAGCATTTTGACACTTGCAATGCATTGTAATTTTTTAAAACATGCAATGCATCTTCATTTTCCATATCCAGGCATACAGAAAGGATCCATGCACAAGAGAGCGTGAATTACTGCAGCAGTGGTAGTAGTGTTAAATAAATTAGGTGATGTTATAACCTTTGTGAACCAAGATAACTTGGGGATGCATGAGTCATGGAGTTGGGATGACTCAATCCTAATCTTTCACTGTGGGCACCAATTTAACACTTGCACCAGGAATTCAAATGGTTTAATTCCACAGGATGAGTTGTATTTTTATGCAAGACTACCTGGGGCTAAAAAATATTTCCATGTTTCAGCAAGAAACTGAGGGGAGAGCAAGTGTCCTCACTCTGAATGGGTAGGTGGCATTGGGACTTCATCATGCTCATGACGTGATCCTCCAGCTGGCTGAGAATACTGTTCCCAGCTAGAAGGTGCACTTTAAAAAGTGGAGCTGGAGCTGCTGCCAATCACAAAGCAAATAAAGTTGAGTAGAAGAGGGCTCTCACGGGCATAATTTGGTTCCCTCAAAAACAGGACATTTTTGCCCCAAATATTCATGTGTGAAGTTTCAGTCCAGCCCAACAAAAGAGAACCATAATTGAATCTGAACTTCTTAGGAAAGCTTACAAGTTGGCTGATTAGTTTTTCCCTTTTGTTGCCCACTCTTCTCCTTCTGCTGCCCGCTCTTCTCCTTTTGCTGTCCACCCTTTTCCTTGTGGTCCTTTTGTTCCTTTGGATTGGTCAATTTCACTTTCTCAAGTAGTGCGCCATACAAGTAAGATCTAGTGAAGAAAGCAATCAAATCAATTTTTTCAGAAGACCGTTTTCCCTCAGATAATGCCTTATTCCCTTCTTATCCAACATAAATTTATAACTGAATGTGATGCAAGTACCTAACTACCTCAATACTCCAAATGATAGCAGGTTATATAGAATCATAGAATCATAGAGTTGGAAGAGACCACAAGGGCCATCGAGTCCAACCCCCTGCCAAGCAGGAAACACCATCAGAGCACTCCTGACATATGGTTGTCAAGCCTGTGCTTAAAGACCTCCAAAGAAGGAGACTCCACCACACTCCTTGGCAGCAAATTCCACTGTCGAACAGCTCTTACTGTCAGGAAGTTCTTCCTAATGTTTAGGTGGAATCTTCTTTCTTGTAGTTTGGATCCATTGCTCCGTGTCCGCTTCTCTGGAGCAGCAGAAAACAACCTTTCTCCCTCCTCTATGTGACATCCTTTTATATATTTGAACATGGCTATCATATCACCCCTTAACCTCCTCTTCTCCAGGCTAAACATGGCCAGCTCTCTTAGCCGTTCCTCATAAGGCATCGTTTCCAGGCCTTTGACCATTTTGGTTGCCCTCCTCTGGACACGTTCCAGTTTGTCAATGTCCTTCTTGAACTGTGGTGCCCAGAACTGGACACAGTACTCCAGGTGAGGTCTGACCAGAGCAGAATACAGTGGCACTATTACTTCCCTTGATCTAGATGCTATACTCCTATTGATGCAGCCCAGAATTGCATTGGCTTTTTAGCTGCCGCGTCACACTGTTGGCTCATGTCAAGTTTGTGGTCAACCAAGACTCCTAGATCCTTTTCACATGTACTGCTCTCAAGCCAGGTGTCCCCCATCTTGTATTTGTGCCTCTCATTTTTTTGCCCAAGTGCAATACTTTACATTTCTCCCTGTTAAAATTCATCTTGTTTGTTTTGGCCCAGTTCTCTAATCTGTCAAGGTCGTTTTGAAGTGTGATCCTGTCCTCTGGGGTGTTAGCCACCCCTCCCAATCCCACATATGTATGTGCATGTCCCGCTTTCCGAACACAATGCATTCCCACAAATCGTTCGTTAGGCGAGTGTTTACAGAATGAGTTGATGATTCCTATGGGAACATTTCTAATCTGTGATCTCTCTCTCCCCTCCCGCCATGGTTTCCTCCTAAAATGGCTGCAGCCAAACAGGAAAGAAGAGACAAAGGGATAAACTGATTTGTCTGCTCCCTCCTGCTCCCTGATTTGTCCAATTTGTAGCAATGTTTGGTCATAATTTTTATGTTTGGGTGTATGAAATTGCAGATAGTGTTTTGATAGTGGGACCTGTGTGTAGTTTGAAAAAGTCTGTGCTACATTTTTGAGATCCTTAACTCTACTTTCCCTGCATTTATTGGGGAAGGAATGAGAATTCCTTTGAGAAAGGCAAGGAATCCAGAGTAGCAGAAACAACTAAAACTGGGAGAAGGTGCTCAAGTGGAATGGGTGGTGGATGGTTTCTGTCATGTTTTTTAAAACCTCTTTCTTCACATTCATAGCTAAATATAATAGATCAGAAATACTGTGACACACTTCCCGGCTTTGAAATAAAAATGGAAAGAATGGAAATAAATAAATAAAACGTAATGGTGGAAAGCCAGAGGTCAAATACTATCCTCAAATACTATAGTCATCCAACAGGGAGCACCTATCTTCAAAACATGTGATAACAAATGCACCTTTCTTCAAGCCCATCTTTTCAAAGTGGGAAAGGACCTGAAGTGCAGGAGACAACCATATATACCATACATAGTTAAAACTGCTGGTACACAGCAGCTGCTGGAAGTCGCTGAAGGAAAAGATGTTACAGGAGTGGCAAAGCGATATTGAAATGATGAGCGCACAGAGGCAGCCAATAAGCAGTTTGGGACGCAACAGACAGATGTTCAGTGGTGGGTTTGATTCTAACAAAGGCCAGGCACAGCTATTTCTCTTTGCTTACACTATAATCACTATGTTTTACTGAAACAGAAGCTGAAGAGCATGGCCCTATAAAAATGAAATACGTAACCATGGTATCTTTTCCTTTAAATATGAGTAAGCTTTGGGTAACACTGCTATGGTGAAGGATTGGCTACAAGCCAGAACATGAAACCATGGTTTACCTCAGACGTCTCCCACCTGGTGCCACCCTGATGTTTTGCTAAACTTTCAGGAGCCCCAGTCAGGGATGATAGAAATTGTAATCCCAAACTTCTGGACGGTACCAGGCTGAGAAAAGCTGATTTATGCTAACCATGCTTCTCCTATTTGCTAGATGACAAACAACCTTTGCTGGTGTCTTTCTACCAACAGCCTCAGAGAACAGGGCTTGACCAGTTAAACCAAATTAGATCTTTGAGATCGTAAACAGGATGAAGTAACAAACTATGACTTGCACTAACCAGTCATGGTTATATTTTATGCCTGCACCAAAGCAATGGCATATGGAACAGACACTCTAACAGCAACAGCTGGTGGGCCACTGCTTTCCTGAAATTATCACCTCTGCTATTGCTCTGGTGTGCAAGAAGGAAGAGGAGTGAGATGGCGGCGGTGCCAGCATGGTGTTAACGCAACAGCAGAGCCAATCCAGCATTCCTGCTAGTACATTTATAACATCCTGGCATCACCCCTCCCCCTCTTGGTAAACCCAACAACGGTGGTGATTAGAGGCCAGGTAAGCACCGCCACTCCACTGACTGCAACTGTATTGCAAAAGAGTGCCAACATGAGAACCTATATTCATACCTGTCTTCTGAATGCTGGAGAATCATTACATGAAAATTTGGTGGTAATTCATTCATGATGTTAAAGTGTTGTGGAGAAATGCAAAGATTTCCCCATGCCTATGCAAAAAAAGGTAACAGTGAATAAATTTTCAGACCGTTTAAAACATAACTTTGTTCTTTTCATGACAAAGTGTCAAAGTAATAGCATGGCTGGGTTCTAGAATTCTTATTAGCCATATTTTTGTAAAATATACGTCAGTGATTCAGTTCCCTCCTGCTCCTAACCATCTGATGGTGCTGCAGTAGGGCAGTAGCCCCGAGAGCCCAGTTTGTCATAACACAGCAGTCTGCAGCGCTATCTGTGAACTACAGTGCATTAGAAAATGTACATTACAAAAAACAGAGCAAGTTGCAAAAATTTTAACTAATTTTGCTCAGACAATCTACCACTGCTTTTTAATTCTTCCCTCCAACTTTTAATGCTCTTACCTGCTTTATATTCCAATATATATAGCACACACACACAATTTGTAGGGCAAGAGAATAAATGATCATATATGCTCCAAACAGGTGTTCCACTACAGCTAGGGATCATTCTCGGGTCCTATAGATCCCTAGCTGGATGAGAAATTGCAATTTTATTTTAACTGACCAAGTTACCTTTGAGATTGCAGCCAACCTGTGCTCCACATTTTTTAGAAGACTGCATGTAACATCTCCTTTTTGTTGCAAGTGGTGCTGCAGATGCAGCATCGCTGCCAGCTGTGATTTGCTGGTGTTCAGTGTAGCTGCTAGCAGGATGTTTTTCATCATCAGTGATGCTGAACAGCTCTGCAACATTTTAATACAAGTCTAGTTTGGCAAATGTTTTAAAACAGATTTCTAATGAAAACCCTTTCAAGAAAGCATGAAACGAAGTGGCCCCGATATGGTGATTATTTACATTCACAGTAAAGAAGCCCTGACATCAAAATTCTAAGAATGGATTTTCTCAGCTATTCAGCTTCTTTCTGTGGAATGATCTCTCCATAAATGTGCTTCACTGAAACGCTCCCCCCCCCCACGCCTGGTTAAATGATATTTATACAGTTGACTAAGGAGCTATTGGTGTAAGGAAGGGATAGTACTGGTGGTGATAACGCTTCTGCCAGTGATTGGCTGAGCTAAATTAACATCACTGGGGTAGAAGGATGAGGATGGACAAATTAAAAAATGGTTGTCTGGCTACCATTGACTGATATGCTTTGATCTTACAGAGAGGGGCAGGATGGGCAGAAGTTAAGGGGAGAATGAAAAGAGGAGTCAAGTACCTGAGAAGGTGGCAGATTAAGGAGACAACAAGAAGAGACAAAACACACAAAGCATTTATCAAAAAGTTGTTTAAATTATGTGAATGCCATAAAATGGAGATTTCAGCTAGTCATTTTTGATGGGAAAGGGCTTCAGCAAAAGTTTTATGAAGATAGAAGGAACTTTTCCACTAATTAATCATGTGGTTGGGGGCTCTCTGAATGTCTCTTTTTCCCTCCTTCTCCTCGTCACCAAGCTGCCCTTCCCTTTTGACAGCCCTGGATCGCTCCAGATGGATCCAACCCAACTTCAAGTTGATCCAGGGATGCCACACCCCAATTTGGTTGAATCCTGGGTTGACGTGAGTCAGCCTGATTTTAGGATCTGGCATTTGGTTGGATCTGGTGCACAGCCCCCAAAATACATGTTCCAAAACATTGAACCACTGATAGTCGATTGCAAGTGTTATGCTTGCACAAGGCTAATTTTATGTTTGCTACATATTTAAAGTAATAATTACATCACATGGGAATAGAAACCATCACGTAATAGAAATAATTTTACTTAGTAATATCACCGTCTGAATTCACATGTTCTTAATAATTTTAAGATTGACTTGGTTGATTATGGTACTAAAGAGCTAATTGAAGTAGCTGTTGCCTCACCTGGTAAAGGGCCAAAAACTGGCTTGCTGAAACGGAGTCAAATCGTCCAAAGCACTCCACCATTTCCAAGCTAGCAGCAGCCAGGATATCAATCATGTTATTATTCATTGCAACATTAATGCTCTGCAGCAAAACCTCCGTTGACTGAAACAGGTATCTTTGGGTCCAAGTCTGTTTCCGCTATATAGCAAAGATCAGAATCCTATGTATTCAATATTGCTAAAACTACATAAATCCAACATAAATAGTAGTTTATCACTTCAAAGAAGATAGAACATTCTGATCTCATATAACAGTTCTTAATGGAAAAGATTAAATGTTTCTAGAGAAGACAAATGGGTATAAATTGAGAGTTTCAAACTGGGCTCCCAGTTATGCTATTTTGTCCCTCAGAGCAATCTATTAGGGCTCTATTAGATTTTGTTTTCCATTTAGCTCAAAATAAATACATGTTCCTGTTGGGCTTCCTTTTTCTGACTCCATGGAACAACAATACAGGAACAAAACATTTTATAAATGAGGAAAGTGATGAAAAGGTGATGCAAAGTAATTAAAATTGATTAATATGAGAACTGCAAGATCTATATGAGCTTATATTCCTTTTTAAAAATTACTTTCCAAAAAGAGAGAGGAAAAGGTTCAGTTCTTATTTTCATCTCATTTTATAACAGACTTTTAGAAACCACATACCAAGAAATCAAAGAAATCAAATACAAAAAATGGAAAATTATCAGCAAATAAATTTTTAGCTTTCTCTTCCACAGCTTGTTCAAATTCTTTACTATTTACTTTCTTAACTAAAATTCTACTTTATGTGTTATTTTATAAAAGTATTCTACAGTGAAGTGGAAATGTCCTAAACACTTTTCCTTCACTGTCTGTCTTTATAGTACTTACCTGGCATGTCCTAAACTTAGAATTTACTATATATATGTGTGCGTGTACATGTATATATACAGTACTTAGGTTATCACATAAACGTACCCTTAATTCACTTGCTTTCCTCCTGTAATCATCAAGCTGTTTTTTGGTAAGTTGCAAACCCGGAGTTGGTGTTTCACTTTCATCACATTTTGCTTCTGATTCTGGTGAGGGGGATTTCTCAAGAACAGGTTTAGGTTCCTCCTGTCCATCACAAAAGAATTAAACAAACAAAGCATTGTCAAAATGTAATGCATGAAATGTGCGAACACATACATAAAGCCCAGTTCTAGTACGGTATGCAATGTTGACCACACACACAAGCTCCTTCTTTGTCTGATGTGGCACTCTAGTAACAACATGGACCCTTTAATTCATGGGTTGTCAACCTGGTCCCTACCAGCAGTGGGCGTTTCAGGATTCTAGGTGGGCAGTAGGGGGTTCTACGGCACAAGCTGAATCTTCCATCCATCGAGTACTGGTGGGCGGTAAGGAAATTTTTACAATCAAGAAAGATGCATTAGTGGGTGGTAGGTATAAAAAGGTTGACTACCCCTGCTTTAATTGGCATTTGAATGTGTGTCAACATAACAACATGCCATTCAAAAGACCATCTGCCATGCCAAGAACCAGGACTGCTCATATGTAAATGTTTTGCTAAGGGTTTCCTATTCTTAAATCTGCTATATCTCTTATTTTTATGCTGAATTGGTTAAAAAATATATAACCATTATTTCAAGTAGAACAAAAATTTGCAGTTCAGCTGGTAACTAAATGCGGTCTATGCAGACTAGACCAGTGTAGTCACTTTTCCAATTTCTATCTTTGGTTTCTTGCTCAGTTTTAACGAATGGCATAATCAGGAAAGGATTTAAACGTTTACTTCGGCTTCCAACGATTGACCAAAAACACAGAATTCGAATCTTACCCCAAATCATTCTCCAGGTAATGCATCTCTTGGACTTTGTTCTGGGACATAATTCCCCAACCTCATGCCCTCAGATCTTGTTGGACCCCAACTCCCACAATCCCTGACCACTGACCCTGGCTTTGGCTGATGGAAATTGTAGTCCAAAATATACAGAGGACACAGTGAGGACAAGCAATCTATTTCCCTTAAACATGAGGTTTCAAGCAACTATGAGGTGCCAATTGAGCATGATCTTAATTACAGTACTTGAGAACTATGACACCAACATGCCTCTGTATTACTCTTCACTTCAGGGCAAGGTGTTGTTTCTCTTGTTGGCACCCAGCCACCTCCGCCCCCATGCCCTCTTTATCACACACACACAAATTTTATTTATTTTCAACATCTATACCCCACATCTCCACAAAAACCCCACATTTATTTCAAAACTTATTCCAATTTGTAAAATCACGTGCACACAATCCACACAGGACACAATAAAACGCCAAATAAAAATGTGGAATAAGCCGAAAACAGATTTCTGAAGTTGTTCATTTCCCCACTTCCATTAACGCTTTGATTAAATGTAGGAAAAATATGCCGTACCGCTGCCTTTTCACTCCAGTGAACATCTGTAAAGATGGGGTTTGTATGATCAGCCATTAAACGCAAACACTTCCCAGTGAGATAGAGGCACTTGGCTCTGATATCAGGACAGCCAGTATAAAGACTCTGTAGGCTTGTTAGCTGAGCCTGGGCATTATGGCCAATTGTGCAGCTGAGTTTTAACCATGCCTGTCAGAATTCAGAAAACATGAAATAAAACCAATATGCTGGAAACTGGTAACATTATGAACAACAAAAATGATCCAATGCTTCAGAAACGGAGTACAGTGGTACCTTGGTTCTCAAACGCCAAAAACCTGGAAGTAAGTGTTCCGGTTTTCAAACGTTTTTCGGAAGCTGAACGTCCGATGTGGCTGTCGGCTATTGTTTCCGGGGCACCTGTACCAATCAAAAGCTGAGCCTTGGTTTTTGAACATTTAGGAAGTCAAACGGACTTCTGGAACGGATTAAGTTTGGCATTTTTGTTTCTGGCCAGAGCCAGTGTGGTGTAGTGGTTAAGAGCGGTAGTCTCGTAATCTGGGGAACCGGGTTCGCGTCTCCGCTCCTCCACATGCAGCTGCTGGGTGACCTTGGGCCAGTCACACTTCTCTGAAGTCTCTCAGCCCCACTCACCCCACAGAGTGTTTGTTGTGGGGGAGGAAGGGAAAGGAGAATGTTAGCCGCTTTGAGACTCCTTAAAGGGAGTGAAAGGCGGGATTATCAAATCCAAACTCTTCTTTTGCTATTTATTTTGCGTTTTTGTTTTTGAGGCTTTTTCAGTTAATTTGTTTCTGTGACTGTGTGGAACCTAGCTCAGCTACTGATTGATTGTGTGACTGTGGAAATGGATAAAAGCCCCCCATCCAAACAATGACAATCATCAGCGCAGGTAAGAAAAAATAATAATTTTTATTTTATCATCTACAATACTGTCTTATTTATTTTAAAGTACAGTACAATGATTATTGCTTTCATTTTATGGATCCATGGTATTGTTAGATAGTAAAATTCATGTTAAATTGTTGTTTTAGGGGTTGCTTTTAAATGTCTGGAATGGATTAATTTGTTTTGCATTACTGTCTATGGGAAAGCGCACCTTGGTTTTGGAACACTTTGGTTTTGGAACTGACTTCCAGAATGGATTAAGTTTGAGAACCAAGGTACCACTGTACTGATGATTCTCTAACGTTTGCTTTGATAGAAGTCACAGCACAATCCTATGCTGAAGTAAGACCTATCATTGTCTTATTCCCAAATAAGTGCATATACGATTGTAGCCCAAACCACAGGAAAGCAATGACACACAAACCTGCTCAACAGAAGCAACATCAGGTGTAAACCTCACAAAATCCTCGATAATCTGCTCAATCTCGTCTGCTTTGGCCTCTTTCTTTTTTTTCTCAATATTGATGAGAACAAAAATATCCAAAATGATCTCCGTAAGTGTCACCTTCATGCTAGCCAGTTTTCTCATCAAGGGAGTGTTTATATTTTTAGTCTGAAATACAAAAATAAGACTGAGTTAAAAAGAACATTCCGGATTCTAGGACTGTGGTGGATGGCAAGATGAAACACATCAGACATAGAGTGAGAAGAGTGAAAATCTTGCACCCTGAAGATTAAAAGGCCACTGCTCTCTTGGGGTGGGAAACACAGATCTGTTAAAGAAAATTATGAAGGAAAAAAAAGAATAGAGAAGGGAGGATCGTTTGCAGTTTTTCAAAGTGACACTTATTACTGCATGTAATATTTACAAATGTGAAGGCTGCTGACAGCCACAAAGACCTATCCAAATTTCCTGCCAATGCTTGTATTCAGTGTAGCTGTTCTCGGATTCTCCCAACTCTCTGGAGTGGATTTGGGGAGGGCAGGGGCAGCACGCTGGGGCAGGAGAGGGAGCAAAGTCCTGATGCGTTAGCAGGAATCGTTGAGCAGGCTTCCACTACCACAACAATTTACCGGTAGTTGAATATGACCCGAAATGTCCCCAATTTGAAGTTGCAATAAGGAACACAAATAATGACCAATGAGTAATTGCCTCCATTGGTTTATCTCTGTATTTTCAGATGTTCACCAGATTTGGTCAGGACTTTGAACGCTCTCATTTGACTGTCAACAGTCTCCATATTTTGCAGTCTTCGCAGTGCAGTCTTATACATGTCCACTCAGAAACGAGCTTCGCTGAGCTCAATGGGACTTACTCCTTATTAAATGTGCATAAGACTACAAGCTGATTTTAAGACACAACTACCTTACCTACCTCATTAACTGGAATCACATTATTAATATATCGAAAAAGCTCTTCCATTTGTGATACTGCTTCTTGAGCTAACCTGTAAGCATCAAGGTAATGACTCTGCTTGTCTACCTTGTATACTGCATGTTTTCCGAGAATCCTGTAAAAAAGAAAAGAAAAAAAGCAACATTAAAAATTATTCAAAAATGGTATTTAGTCCCTGATAATTTATCTATTTAGAAAGATAACCAGATAATTTTTTCTCCTGCAGTTTTAGCAGCATGTGCCAATTTTGTGTTCAAAGAGATAACCACCATTCACTAAAGGCAACAAATTAAATGATAAAAGTATTTTATTTTTCAAAAATGCCAAGTGTGTGCGTGCGTGCACGCACGCACACACACACACACACACACACAAACGTAAGATGTTGATTGAAAGTGTCCACAAAGGAAAAGTTACTTCTGTGCTTTCACTACTTTCAATCAAGATTACTATTACTTCCATTTACAATGGTACCTCGCGTTACAAACACCTCGGGTTACAGACACTTTGGGTTACAGACTCCACTAACCCAGAAGTAGTACCTCGGGTTAGGAACTTTGCCCCAGGATGAGAACAGAAATTGTGCAGCGGCGGCAGGAAGCCCCATTAGCTAAAGTGGTTCCTCAGGTTAAGAACGATTTCAGGTTAAGAACGGACCTCCGGAATGAATTAAATTTGTAACCAGAGGTACCACTGTATTAAAAAAGGAATGGTAAATATTAGAACTACTACGTGCAGCTTGTGATCCAGCAAATAATATGAATACAGCAGGTATTTCCCATCAAAGCTTAAGAATTGTTTCTGCTCATGGCCTAGGCGGCAAACTGCTAAGTCACAACAAGGCTCCATGTGAACACAGCCACATTCTTCCTCCACTGGACCTGCTGCTGCCCGGCTACCTTGAGCTAAGCTATGGCTTCCCTTAGCATTAGGTGCAAAACTGTAGTTTGTTTCTCTCAAGCAAACCATGAGTAGTAAACAAAGAACAAAGCTTGATTACAGCTGGTGGTTTGTCTGGAGCGAGACAAACCATGAACCCAGCTTGCATATAACTGACAGTGCAGCAACAGGACTGGAGGAAGAGAAAGGTAAAGGTAAAGGGACCCTTGACCATTAGGTCCAGTCGTGGCCGACTCTGGGGTTGCGGCGCTCATCTCGCTTTATTGGCCGAGGGAGCCGGCGTACAGCTTCCGGGTTATGTGGCCAGCATGAGGAGGAGGAGGAAAAAGGTCACAATTTCCACTGTGAGGACCTGCACATTTGCATAAGCATGCTTAGCCTTGATTTGGCTTCCCACTGAATGTGTACCAGGCTAATGTGGGTCAGCTTCATGCATATTTTGTTGCGTTTCAGCCACTGCTTGTGCAATTTGATTCAGATGCAATAAAGAAGTTCTATTTTTGTTTGTAACTGTTTAGACTCAATGTTGAAAAAGCAAGCCAGAAGTAATCTGCAGTTGAAGTGATTAGCGTGTGGGTTTTTTAAAAATATGCACGGGCCAGTTTCCAAAGATCTGCTCAGCATGTGCCAAAAGTGCTTTAGATTTGTGTGTGTTCTTAACAGCTTCTTTCCTATACTGCAAGACAAAAGAACTTTGAAGCTGAAGGTAGTTACAAGTGGTTCAAGAAGTGGCATGGATACCTGTTGCAGAAAGGGAGGAAATCCACTTTGTGACCGTAAGTTCTTGAGCTATCTTAAAATTGTCCTTTGGGTCTCTGCCTATTTACATTCAAATAAATAATCAAGGACTATTATGGACTTACCTGTGAATATTTGCACGTACCAGCAAAACCTCAGTACTACGATCTTTATACCGGTAAGAAAGGAAGTCCTTCTCGATGTGAATTAATTTATCATATGGCTCCAACAACAATCTTGCTAAGTCATTAGGATGACTACTAGCATTGATGTAGTCTTGACCAAACTCTACATGAATATATGCTTTCCTGCATAGAAAAGTATATTAATAGTATTGGGTAAAATATCTCAATAATGTATTAAATATTTGATCAAGTATGCTGTACTAATACACTTTTTTCTTTGCATGTTTTTAGATTTTGATGACTAATGCTAAGAGAAAACCATAATTTTATATTTATGCTTGGATTAGGCTGTGTTTGCATTAAGAAAAGCACAGTGAGAGTTACAAAAATTACCCTAAACATATTTATGCAAAAGTAAATCCCATGAAGATTTCAGTGGGGATTACTCTCTGCAAAGGGTACATAGGATCACATACCCAGGACTAAGTTTCATTGAACTGAATGGGATTTACTTCTGAGGTAACATGAATATGTTTGTATTGTTAGTTAGTTAACAAACCATACATAAAACGTTATAATAATTTTTTTTACTTGTAATTAATTACCTGGCTTCAAGGAATGAGATTATAATACCCAACTCAGCTTCTCTGTTGGGTCTTCCCAGCAATAATGGTCTCAATGCATTTACAGTTCTCTGCAGAAAATGGCCAGACTGTAGCTATGAGAAAGCAGAATTGTTCAAAACATTTTAGGCCAGGTATTTATTCTATCTAGAGCAAATCCATTCAATGAAAACACAAGCTGTGTTTTACTGAAGAACATATGACTCACCAGGCATACCTTGATTAAATATAGCTACAAAAGTAGGATACTGTGATCTCTACATAAGAAAAAAAGGCTTTAAAAAACCAGAAGGTTCTATATTGTACTGATTGGGAACAGTGTTCATAGTGCTATCAAGTTCAATGTATGCAGTGCTTTTTTCTGGGGGGATGCAGGGGTACGCATACCCCTAAACATTTTGTGAATCTTTGTACTTTTGCCCATTTACTGTATTTATTTCCCTCAATTTGAATTATAAAATGGTGATTTTCTTGAGTCAAAATGAGAGCACCCCTAAACATTTTTTTATAGGAAAAAAAGCACTGAATATATGTCTTAGTGGAAGATTGCCAATGTGAAGCTCAATACAGTCACTTTTGACTTCAACACAGGGACTTCTAAAAAAAGGAGGGCATTGCTTATAAAAGAAGTCGAAAGTAAAAGTCAAGAAGGCCAATTCTCTCCAAGGCCAGGGGATAATGTTATTAAAAACTCGTAGAAGCTCAACTAGAATATATACTGCAAATCAGAAAAGGTATTACCAAGGCAAAAAAAGTATATAAAATAAATAAATAAATGTCAGGGTAGTTAATAGAGTCAAGCAAGCTGTCAGAGGCAAGAAGGTACCTTTTAGAAAATGGGAGACTTTACCCAAATAAGGAGAACAAAAGGGAACCAGAAGCAAGCTAACAATAAGAGATGCAGAAGAAGAAGAGGATGAGGGAGGAGGAAAAAAATGTATTTCATGAACATACTGCTAAAAACATTAAAATTAACCCAAAAATATTTAAATACATTAGAAGAAGGAAACCAGCTAGGGAGGTGATTCAGCCTTGGATGACAAGGGAGTCAAAAGTGTGTTAAAGGGTGGGGGGGAGAGACAGCAGAGAAGTTGAAGGAATTCTTTGCATCTGCATTCATTGCGGAATATGTAGGACAGATCCCTGTGGTTGAACTAGGTTTCCTTACCATTTTATCTTTTCTTTCCTCATCTTCCCCTAAAATTGCATCTGTGAGACACAAAGTGCTATTCAGCCAAAATTTCTCATTTCCACCTATCAATTGTGCCTTCTCGAGTAGTTCTTTAGCTTGTCCATGTTTTTGTTCCAAGTTAGCTAGCACAGCTAGAAGATAAAGGCACCGCGATACAGTACAGAGGTCATTCATTTCCTAGAAAAAATGTTATTTCAAGTAAATGAAATTGTAAGTTCAGTCTTACCAAAGGGCCAAGGGCATCCAGTGTTACGTATTTAGAACAATTAAAAACAAACAAAATTGAGAACGTGTAAAATGCATCTCCTAATCTTCTACAGGAGTTTATTAGGAGAAACTCAGACTAAAATGACTTTAATTTTCATGCTAATTTCTTTTAATTTTTTTTGCAAATTGCTGCAAAATATGGAGAACTGAAAAATGAGAAATTGAAAGAACCTTCCATCGCTACCTGGGAGGAAGCCCTAGGACTTCTCTAAGATTAAATTTGAGTAAATAGTTCAAAAGAAAACCACTTGAAAGCTGGGAGGGAGCACTGAGGGAATCTTATGACTATGCCAGTGCATAGGGGACGAGATCACATTCCAGTTTGGGATCAATTTTCAAACTTACCTGAGTTGCATGGTGTGCTTCTGCAAGTAGTAGCCTTGCTGGCTGATATAAACCTAATTGCATGAGGACTTCAGCTTTGTCTATCCACAAGTAGGGGAAAGAAAGCCCACTTAACCCTTTTTCAGTCACAGGGTTCAGTTCCAAAATCTGTTTTTAAAAAGAAAGAAAGAGTGATCCTAGAATTGCAATTCCATTTTAGTCAGCATTTAATTCTAAAATTGGTGAAAGGGATTTTGCTTAGCATTCCAATTCCTTAAAAAAAAATCTGAAATCTGTTGTAAAGCCTGATGAGAATTATTATTATTATTGTTGTTTTATTATTTATACCCTGCCCTTCTGGTTGGGTTTCCCCAGCCACTCTGGGCGGCTCCCAACAGATTATTAAAAACACGATAAAACATCAAACACTTAAAACTTCCCTAAACAGGGTTGCCTTCAGATGTCTTCTAAAAGTCAGATAGTTGTTTATTTCCTTGACATCTGATGGGAGGGCATTCCACAGGGCGGGTGCCACCACCGAGAAGGCCCTCTGTCTGGTTACCTGTAACCTCACTTCTTGAAGTGAGGGAACCACCAGAAGGCCCTCAGCGCTGGACCTCAGTGTCCGGGCTGAATGATGGGGGTGGAGACGCTCCTTCAGGTATACTGGGCTGAGGCCATTTAGGGCTTTAAAGGTTAGCACCAAGACTTTGAATTGTGCTCGGAAACGTACTGGGAGCCAATGTAGGTCTTTCAAGACCGGTGTTATGTGGTCTTGGTAGCTGTTCCCAGTCACCAGTCTAGCTGTCGCATTCTGGATTAGTTGTAGTTTCCGGGTCACCTTCAAAGGTAGCCCCATGTAGAGCGTATTGCTTTAGTCCAAGTGGGAGATAACTGGAGCATGCACCACTCTGGCGAGACAGTTGGTGGGCAGGTAGGGTCTCAGCTTGTATATCAGATGGCACTGGTAGACAGCTGTCCTGGACATAGAATTGACCCGCGCCTCCATGGACAGCTGTGAGTCCAAAATGACTCCCAGGCTGCGCACCTGGACCCTTCAGGGGCACAGTTACCCTATTCAGGACCAAGGAGTCCCTCACCCCCAGCCCTCGCCTCCCCAAACTGTACTTCTGTCTTGTCAGGATTCAACCTAAATCTGTTAGTCGCCATAAGCCTGTGCATAAGATAGTGCAAACGCCTCAAAAATCTGCAATACAGGAGGCAGAAATAGGAGGTGCATGGTGATAGGAAATGCAGTTCTAAAATAATGAAACAAAGTATGGGGTAGGTGAGTGAACAGCTGAGGAAGAAAGCAGCTGAGGAAACCAACACCAGACAGGACAATAGGCCCAGAGGCGGGTGGGGATAGTGAAGATACTGGGCACTTTGACTCCAGAAAAATAACTGATGGAGAGAAGGCCACCTGTAGGAACCTGCTGGGGAGGCAGATCTTAAGCAAGAGACCTGAATCAAGGAAAATTCCAGTATAAAAATGGTATAGAATCTTGGGTCCAGTGGAGGACAAAGCAACAGGATTCTAGTTAAAGATGTGTGGTGCATCACCAATTACTCCCCTTTAACCAAATCAGCTACATTAGGAAATGCCCTTGTGAACATGTACTTTTTCTTAAATGTTAATAATAAAAGGAAAAACTCAGAAAAGCCTTAAACTTCCATCTCTACAAGAGCCACCCGTTTTTGCCCACTAGGCCCAGCAGCAATTAAGGGATATACTGCTAACAATGGAAGCCATAGTTTACTGCATGGCATTCACTCAATTGACCTTGTTTCTAAAAGCCATAAAGAGTTTAAAGGCAGCAAAATGCCTTCTTACTTTGATCTATATGCAAAGTGAAAGTAAATTACCTTATCTTTTGCAGTAAACAATTTTTTACTAATATCTGATGGCTTTAAACTGGTAAATCTGGTTTCCTTCAGCTTGTTCTGTATGGCATTCTCCTTTTTAAATGCTATCTCTTGTCTAAACCTGAATCAGAGAAAGGAGAAGGGAGAACGATTTTGCAAACAATAACAAGCAAAACAACAATGAGGATCAACATGTCAACATGGAAAGTCGTTACTGAGATGTCCACGGGGCCACATTAATCATTTTGTTAATGGGCATAGAATACCGGTAACTTAAATTCAGTTATACCAGCACACTGCAAAAAGCTGCTGCTCTTAGAGGAAACAACTGTTATGCTTACACTGTAATACATCCAAATCCAGGGAACGATGGACCCACCTATAGAACCCTCTCAAAAAGATTAAAGTCAGCCACTAAGGAGGGTGACTGGGGAGCTGGATGCAATCCCCATGCACCCCCACTCCCCATCCCTATTAAATAGCTGACTGGTGGAATCTCAAGCTTTTTGAAAGGCTGCATGCAAATAGTCCTAGTTGCTCAACTGGAAATGGGGTGTTAGGTATGTACAGAATCCATGATGAACTTTTCAGATTACACACTTTGCTTCAGAAGATCATACCTTCCTTGTTCCATTTCATTAATGTACATTTCACCCACTGCCTTCTCATGATTAAATGCTGCTTGGCACAACTTTAAATCTAAACATATCCTGGAGAGTCTGTGAAAACAAAGGACACAATCCATACAAAATACAAATTACCTGTTGACAAGAAATGGTACTTTTGTACAATGAAGACTTGGCCCTAGCTCATTTGGAAATGTAACTGATTTCATGCAATGTGCATTCTGGAAATATGTGGCAAGAAGGGGACCTGCATAAAGCTAGAACACAATGAAGCTAAAGGGAAGCAATAGGATGTTAGGGATCCTATTAGGGATCAGTTAGGGATCAGGAGTGGCTTGCTGCTAGGTATATTTAAAATCCCATTTCCATCAACAGAATTTTGAGGACTTAAAGTGCAAAACAGAACAGTCTGTCTATCTGCACTGTCAATTAAACACAGCTTTAAAATGGACATTTTAAAACTTGCACTTTCTGGTATGGAAAGATGTTCTGCAGAAGCAGTGTTGTCGTAGTTAATCTATTACACTTTGGTTCAAGTAATGCAGTGCAGTTTCAAAGAAAAAGGCAAAAATTGTATATTCAGAGGCCGCTGCAGGCCTGGAAAACCCAGATGTCATGTCTCCAAGACAAACAGTGGCTGCAGTGAGTGGAATTCCAAGGGGATTCCATGGGTGGAAGAGAAATATTTTGCTCCATGCTGGAGTTCCCAGATCCCTTTGCTACATCAAGTGGTGAAAGTCAGTAAAGTGGGGGGTGGAGAGTTAAGCAATACTCCCCACTTCCTCACCTATAAATCAATCCCCACAAGATCACTTTGCCTAAGAGCAAGAAGGGCTAGGATTCCTAGTCATGCTATGAGTATTAATGAAGAAAAAATACTTGTCATTAACAGTCTCAGATATCACTTCTTCTGAAATAGCAAGTTAATTAGACAGGGGTGGAATCTACACACATATAAAAAAAGTTCTGAAAATGCTTTTTTTTAAAAAAGCATTTTAAAAAATACATTGAATACACTGAATTTTACATAAGGTTCACTATCACCATCTAGTGCCACATTATATATTGCGCTTAAAACACACTTAAAATGTTTTATTTGCAACTGTATAGCTGAGTCCTAACAGTGCTATCAGACAAAAAACACGAATTCAAGGAGATTTGTGCACGCATACACACACACACACACACACACACACACCCCCTCCTACTTTTATGTTTTTGATAGCAAAAAGCTTGGAATCTGAAACACTGAAATGTAGGCGACATAAAAATATACCGTATTTTTCGCTCTATAAGATGCACCAGACCACAAGACGCACCTAGTTTTTGGAGGAGGAAAACAAGAAAAAAAATATTCTGAATTTCAGAAGCCAGAACAGCAAGAGGGATCGCTGCGCAGTGAAAGCAGCGATCCCTCTTGCTGTTCTGGCTTCTGTGATAGCTGCGCAGCCTGCATTCACTCCATAAGACGCACACACATTTCCCCTTACTTTTTAGGAGGGAAAAATAGAGTCTTATAGAGCAAAAAATACGGTAAATGCTAAAACTTTCATTTTCAGTCACAAACATGACAAAGCACAGCCAATGAAAGTTCAAACTGCCTAGACTTATTTTTTTTTGTTTAACATCTAAGATTTTTTAATGCTCAAGCAATTATGCATACAAGCAATTTTTAGGCTTACTGGGGGTGCCATTTAGAAGGTACAAGGGGGCACTTGCCTCTCCCTATGTTTCAGACCACGTATGATTACCTACATCAGTATGAACACACATTATCCTGGTCCAGCACACTTGTTCTGCTGATCAACCAGGCATGGGAAACCAGTGGTCATACAGACGACAGCTCTCATCAACCTTGACAACAGACTATATTGGTTAAGACTGATGGGAGTTGTAGTCATGACCGTGCTCTGCTAGTAATGGGTGAGATTCAACCTCCTTGAGATTCAGCGCATGCAGGGAACTTTGTGGGAATAACTTCTGGAACCATAAATCCATAATTTGTGGCACATCATAAAGTACAGAAAGGGATTAATTTACACACCACAACCAAAAACAGATTTGAATTTATGAACGGCAGGAAAGTGAAATGTTTTACAGTGACTGCAGAATAATGGATACAAACCGAAGATGGTAGAGATCTGACAGACTTTTGCTTTCTACGACATCACGAGAAATGATCTCAGCCAGATGAAGAACCGGAACAGTCAAGTGAGTACATAAAATTGCCTGTAGCTCCTTAACTAAAAGGTCTAGGTAGTATAAGGTACGTGTCTGAAAATTAAAAGAATTGATGATGGAAAAGTTGTCAACACTTCTGTCTCAATTCTGCATTTTTAACGCTGAAAATGGGACAATGAAACAATGTTCTCGAATTTTACACATCAGGGAGTTGCTACACACAAATGTATACTTCGGACACATTGTCCTACCTTTTGAACCACTAAATATGCCATCTCTGTGGCAACCTGAAAATCAGCATGAAAAGAAACTTTCAACATTCTCATTCAAAATGGTTTTATCACAAAGCCTAATACGTAGGACATTTATACACCGGTAAAACTCAGGATACACAGAAAATACTATCTCATCTTTTATGGGCGTGTGGAACTGAGCGATACAGTTCCCATGGAAGTGGTTTGCTCACGCAAACAACCCCTCTCTAGAATCAAGCTCAGGAAAAACTGGTTTTGCCTTCTTTGAAATAGAAGCTGGTCACATGCAGCACTGAACATTGGGCAGATGTTATGTCTCCAACTGAATCCACCGTGGTGTTCAGTAAGGTCACTCATCTCTACCCAATATATGTTGCCATAGCAAATCTGTTCCCTCCGACTCCAACAAGTCTTTCAAATTCATACAGATCTAAGAAGATAAGATAGTAGCCCCTACAAACCAAAATCTGGAAATGCTACTCACAGGTGCCAAAATGGTTTCCCTGTTCATAGCACAGCCACTTGAGTCCTGTTTAAAGGCATCTCTAATTTCATCAGGACATTCATAGCTAGCCCACTCCTCCACATTTGCGGGCAAGGCTTCACTTGGCCCTTTCTTCTTTGCTTTGTCTTTGGCCGACTGTGGCTGAAAAACAAGGCTCTGCATTAAGGAAGTCTATTCCCCCTCCCCCCACTGAACATTAAAATATATTAAAAGAAAATGTACCTGTTTAGCATCTTTTGAAGACTTGTCTTTTTTAGGAGGGCTTGTTGGTGAAGTCTGATTAGCAGAAGGCTTTGGGAAAAAGAGGGGGGGAAAGGAAATTTTTTATTACACCATAGAATAATAGTATTTATACAATATTTAGTGTTTTACACAGCTTATATATGTACATACAGTTCTGCATCTGAAGCTATGTCTCACCCTACTGGATTTCACAAAGATCTGGATCATGGGCTCATATGGGCACTTGTGAATCCTACAGGTCAACCGCCATTAGTAGCATGGCATTGTCATGTCCCGCTGCACCTCCAACCACTTTTAGCTGGGTCCCCTGGGCAGTGGGAGATGTTAGATACTCTCCCGTTGGCCAGGGGAAAAGTTGAATTGGGTTCAGCTGCAGATTGGCCAATAGCAGCCAGACCAAGGGGTGGGCACTCATTAGGGGTGGGCCTGACTGAGTCCATCATAGGACTTCACTCAGGTCCACTCCCAGAGTATTTAAGGAAAGCCAACCCCAAACTTGGCACTTTGGTCTTTGGGATCCCCCACCCTCCCTTTAATTAAGCTGTTATCTACCTATGATGGAGCAGTGCGTATTTATGACCTTGCTATGGATTATGATTGGTCACCGTATTTGGGAGCGGGAGGAATTTGTCCTTTAGGTCAACTGGCTGACCTGGGGATTTTGCCTACCTCGTAGCAATTGCCACAACTATTATGGATGTGGCGTTAAGTCTTAGAGGGGAGGTTGTAAGCCTCTGCCTGCACTTCTAAGGGAATGAGGTATCCCATTAAAGGGTTCCTGGAGCAGGTGCTCCTTCTAGATGCCCAGTTGGCAGCTAGGACCATAGCACTCCTCAAAGGCATTCTCAGTGGGCAGCCGCTATTTGATGTATGTCATAGGACCCCCTCACCAACAGTTTGACTCCTGGGAAGACTCGACCAACAGGCGGGTTGGTTGATATAGGTTATCCCTTTCATCTGAGCCAACGCCATTTACATCTGTAATCAATGAAGTTATGGCCTAATTTAAACCAAAAACGTGTGTTGTCACGAGTGGTCATTTAACAGGGGGTGGGGTGGCGGGTCACAACACCTGGGCATGCAATCTGTTTCATTGGATTGGGATGCATAGGGAGCTAAAGAAAAAGAGATTTACAGAATTCTTACTTAATAATTAATTACAGAGATAACTGTTGAGAAGTAAACCATTTTCTTTGGGAGGGAAAGTATGTTTTTAATATAGAAGAGTGCCTTACTTGTTTGGCATCTTTGTTTTGTTTTGCATCTTTTTTGCCTTTCGATTTGGGACTCATTTGCTGAGTTGGTGAAACTTTGCCCATTGTCTTTAAAAAGGTTCCCGCTGCTGCCAGTGACACCTGAGCAAAAATAATTGCATTTGTTTTTAGTCAGGGAAGGAAACCTACAAAAGGCTGAGTTATTTACAGTCAAATGCAGAAAATGAAAGAATTAAGACAACTGGGTAGGTTTTAGAGGTTTACGGATGGTAGTGATCTCCTTTACTTTTATAAAGAGCAAACCTACACAGATGCGAGTTAATAGCCTTGATCCTAAAACTGGTTAACTTACAGAAATTCATAGAAGAGTTTCTTGTCTTACTCAACCCTCACCCTATATTTGCAGCAACCTACTGAACCATGAGGGATGGAGAACGAGGGGAATATACTGCAGAGAGGAGAGCATGGGAAACATACAAAATACTTTCATCAAAACCTATATGTAATAATCTTACTTCTTTTTTGCAAATAAACTTTTCATTACATTCTTGAAGGAAAAATACAACATCAAAGCACCATGATTCACACATGCAGTGGTACCTTGGTTCTCAAACTCAATCCATTCAAGAAGTCATTTTGACTTCCAAAATGTTCGAAAACCAAGGCGCAGCTTCTGATTGGTGCAGGTGCCCTGGAAACAATAGCTGACAGCTGCATCGGACATTCCACTTCTGAAAAGTGTTCGAAAACCGGAACACTTACTTCTGGGTTTTCGGCGTCTGAGAACCAAGGCGTTTGAGTACCAAGGTGTTTGAGAACCAAGGTACCACTGTATACGGATGAGCATCCTTTGAGAATTATACAGAATAAGGATAGAAAAATAAAGTCAAAAGTTGTTGCAATAATCTTACTTTTCATACAATCTATGTGATTGAGAGGAATGCCAGCCAACAGTTTATAGGAAAGCTGGCATATTGACACAGTACACCAACACACCATACTTTTTATTATTTTCTTACCTGCCAAATGCGCATCACAAAAGCATATGCCATTAAACAGTGCTGCTCGTGAAACGGCGAACTATGTCCGGAAATGACTGCCATTACCGTGTGAGCTCTAAACAAAGCTTCTATCTGCCTTATACTTCTTAAATCCTCAATGGCAATACGGTCATTACAATCTGTGGTCAGAAATAACAATAAAGCAAACGTAACCACATTCTTTCATATGAACAAAATCCAAAATCCACACTAGGTCAATCCTTTTACCAGGCAACCAAAGTGTCACAAACTTGTGAACAAGCTTCAGAACTCATGATCAGGATATTAAGCAAAATGGGGGCATGGGGAGGAGCTGGCTTGGGGTGGAAGCATTAAGTTTGTATTTAGCCACAATCTTAACATGGATTATGTTCACCTAGGTAGGGTTTTTTTACATCTAGTGACGCTAGAATGAAGAAGCACATCTCATTCACCATTACTTTAAAATAAAAAATGTAGCAGTTCTCTAGATCTGTCTGCAGTAAACTACACAGGATATTCATGGTAGAGAGTTTGTATTTATCTTCATTTTAAAAGGAGAAGTCATGCAAGCTAAAACCTATATATTTAATATAAAAAGTACTGTTCAGAAGCCTAAACTAAAATATGTCCTCAGGGTCAAAGAGAAAGTTCTACAGGTTACTAAAATATCCGAATACACTGGAAAGACAAACTCTGAAATAACTTATTATTTTAGATTTATTTAAAGACATACCTTCTTCTTCAGGGCTTTTTCGGAGAGGTTTCAGGTACAGTAATATATATACTGCCCAGTCCAGGTGTTTAATAGCTTCACTAAGAGGAAACTGATTGGAGTACAGCCATTCTGCAAATGCTATTAGATTATCAACTTTCTTTAATGAATATTCTTTTTTCTGTATAAAAACAGGGAATGCATTCTTAACCTAGTTGTTCTTGATAATGAATGAATGAATCTTTATTGCTAAAAGCTATTAAGCCATCACAATTGCTCACAATGCGAGAATACAAATAATTGATTTAAAACTGAACAATATCAGCAAAGCAAACATACAAAAATGTAAAAATCACCCTTGCCTAGGTTAAGTACTCCACATCTCACACTCCTCCTTCTGATACTTGTCTTGGTGCCTAGCTCACAACTTATTTGCAGACATATTTTGCAACCAGTGCAGTAATAAATACATTATTGCCAGCCAGCAAAATAGAGCTTTGCTCAAGGGGAGTTCGGTTGGAAAGAGAGCAGTTGTTCTTGAAAAATATGTTTTATTTCCTTTCAGACCAAAAGAATAAGTTAAAATATGCAACCAGGAATGCATTGATCTCAGGCAAACTAGGGAACTTGTATGTCCACAGCTGTTAGGAATCCAAACATCTCAAGTTAACCAACAGCATTATTTGCAAACATACTAGCAAAGCAATATTTTAAACATCTACTGATGACTCATCATCAGTGAAAAAAAGTGGTGCAGAAAACAAATCAGAACAACAGAAATTGCATTATGAAAAGAATGCATAAGGACAACAAGAATACTACAATAAACTTTTACGCATAGTGTCTCAAGCAACACACCACAGGTATATATATATATAGGAGTGCCAATAGAATTTTCTGGGCCCAGAAGATTGGGCCCATGACCTACTCACAAAAGAGGACACAGATTTGCATAAACTGGTGTTATGTACAAATTTATGTCCTCTTTTGCAGTTGGAGTGGATAGCCCCAAAATAAATTCATGGCCACACACATAAAATGGCTGACAGAATGTGAACAGCAGAAACAGCAGGTAATTGTATTTCCATACTAGAAATGGATTAACCTGTTTGATTTTTGCCTGCCATACTGCTGTTACAATCTTCACAATTTAGAAACACATACCAGTAATATTTTAAAAGTACATTTTAAAAGAAGGCAGATACAGACCTGTAAAACTTCAATTGCATTTTGGTAGCAAGACAACTGTCCCACAAGATCTGACGACACAGATGCCAGACGATGCCACATATCTGACATGTACTCTTCACTTTCATCTCTGAATTTCTGAATTTCCATTATATAGTTACGCCCAAGTCTTGACTTCACCATTACCATCTGTTTAAATATTGGGCTAGGAAAAAGAATTTGACAAAATCAATGCTCATCACTGATTTGATATAAGTTGTTTTTAAGTGATATTTTAAGGCTTTTATGATGCATTTTGGAATCAGAAGTCAACATATATGTGTGACAAGTACTTCTGTCTCCACCAATCTACAGCAATTAATCTTAGCCCAGAGTTCAGTCTGAAAAATGCATACGGGATAAATATGTATGAGACTTGAGACAATATTCTAACATAGGGAGGGATCCACCTAATGAGTCTCAGCAGTGGAAGCTTTGCACATGGACTTCCACTCATGCAATGGGGCTTCTTTCTTCTCCACTCCTCTCTAAACTGGCTCAGAAGGGGAGTGTTGGGGGAACCGCAAAAATGGTGCATGGGGGGAGGAGAGGAGGTGGGAATCGTTCAGTCCAGCAAGCTGAAATGCTTGAGCTGATGAATGTTCAACATAGCACGTTTAATTCCTCCCACGGCGTTTACTTCTTGAGACCTGATAATCAACACTTAATTCTAATCATCACCATTATTAGTTTACATACCGCTTAATGCCAAAAGAGGTTTCTCAGTATACAACAGAACCCCAGTAGCTTCTTCAAATCTGAACAGTGATTTTTGCCTTCAACTGCTAGGGAAGTTCAACTCCTGCCTGTTGTCATCTCACAAGCACGAGAGAAAAAGCACAAAATGTGGGGCAGCTGTGCTGCCAGTGGGTGCTCAGCCAAACAGTGCAGCTTCACCTTTAAAGTTTGAAATGGAGGGGGCCCTGACACCATCCTGTACTATGAAAATGCTACCAGAAGCAATTCACTGAGGAGGGCAGAGCACAACATTAGCCTCCTGGAATGCGTGCCACTGTTGCTTGCCAGAGGAAGGGCGGTGGGGTGGTTCAGTGGTTAGGAAGGTGCAACACACACCAGCAAAACCTCTGCAGAACTAATTTGGGTGTGCCTCACTTTCAACCTACTCTCCTTCTCCCATTAAGGTTCTACCCCTCTTCCACACTTCCTCCTAGAGTTCCACACTTCCTCTCCATCTTTTGGATCAGCTCTATTTCTAGATTGTAAAACTACAGCAAGCACCAGCAACCCCCAACACATCCTAAGAACAATCCAAACAGCTTACAGCCTGTGCTTAGTTCGAGGGAGCATCTGATTAGCTTCATCTAAGACTTTGAGGCCTGCCTCCCAGTCATGTTTATCAGCATGTACTTGGAACAGTAATATATATAAGAACGTCCTTAAGGTCAAATCTTCATCAGCACCTTTGAAACAAATTAAAAGCAATATTTTAGATATTGCAAAGCCAATACAGCCACCTCACAAAAACCAAGCTAACTTCATGATCAAAGGATGAGAACTTACCTGAATGCCCATCTGAGAAACTACTGCTTTGAAAGTCTGTTGTAGGCCATTGATGCAAGTGTAACATATGCTCCATTTCCTAAATAATGAAGTAGGGGTGGGGGGAGTGTTCATGAACATTTTAATACAGTTTTGACAAAGCAAACGTCTCTGAAGGAAGGTCTATTTGGCTGGCAAAACAGCTCGAATAAGGTGTGTGTTCAATGGCAGTAGACTGTGGACATATAAGAGAGATTTGGCGGTTCGTGGGCTAAGGAGCCAAGAAAATGGGGAAGTGAAGGGCTGTTTATTAGTTAGTTATTTTAAAGACCCAACCAGCAAATTCAGGCCCTCTTGGCAAATGTCACATAACAATATGAGTGAACTAGCCCTGATTTAGGTTTAAGTCGCTCGTTCCGTTTTGAATTGTCTGAAGGCAAAACATTCCCATGAGAGGTATTAGATATAGAAGGTACTACTATTTATTACCTGCTTATTTTTGGCTTCTGATGCTTTATTGATGCTCTTGATAATGATTTCAGTGGGCTTCTTGAGCTGCTGTCTATCTGCTGAGGAACCAATGAAGGGTAAGCAGCCATTCCAGAAGTGTCTAGCTGCTATCATAGCAAGAGCAAGATCCCCAGCTTCTCCTGCATACCTAGGAAGGTGGAAAACACAATACAGTCAGGTGGCTGCTGCAAAATGTAGTAAAAATTTGATTCAATTACAGTGCAGCAAGCCCAGTATCCTTTGTAAGGATAAGATATCACATTTCCTAAAAGTATTAAGGGATTCACTCCATAACAAGAGGGGTATGTTTTCTGTAAAGGAAAAAAAGTCTATGGAAAATGTGCATCTGTTCCCACTCAAAAATATGTTGTTGTTGTTGTTTAGTCGTTTAGTCGTGTCCGACTCTTCGTGACCCCATGGACCAGAGCACGCCAGGCACTCCTGTCTTCCACTGCCTCCCGCAGTTTGGTCAGACTCATGTTTGTGGCTTCGAGAACACTGTCCAACCATCTCGTCCTCTGTTGTCCCCTTCTCCTTGTGCCCTCAATCTTTCCCAACATCAGGGTCTTTTCCAGGGAGTCTTCTCTTCTCATGAGGTGGCCAAAGTATTGGAGCCTCAGCTTCATGATCTGTCCTTCCAGTGACCACTCAGGGCTGATTTCCTTAAGAATGGATGCGTTTGATCTTCTTGCAGTCCATGGGACTCTCAAGAGTCTCCTCCAGCACCATAATTCAAAAGCATCAATTCTTCAGCGATCAGCCTTCTTGATGGTCCAGCTCTCACTTCCATACATCACTACTGGGAAAACCATGGCTTTAACTATATAGACCTTTGTTGGCAAGGTGATGTCTCTGCTTTTAAGATGCTGTCTAGGTTTGCCATCGCCTTTCTCCCAAGGAGCAGGTGTCTTTTAATTTCGTGACTGCTGTCACCATCTGCAGTGATCATGGAGCCCAAGAAAGTAAAATCTCTCACTGCCTCCATTTCTTCTCCTTCTATTTGCCAGGAGGTGATGGGCCCAGTGGCCATGATAATATATATATAACTCAAAAATATATGGATAGCATATCTTTGCACATTGTAAAGAAATAAATGGTGTAATTGTGAATGGAACTCCAAGTTATTTAACAGATTCCTGTGGTTTTGTTGAAAATAATTTCCCACTGCCACACTTTAAAAAAAATAACCACAGTTACATTTGCAATAGAGAGGATCCTCCATGATTATAATTTTTGAGGAATTATATACCATCTGCTCATCACTTCATAGCAGTTTTCCCTCAGGTTAGCACAAGGTGAAAAAATAATGCAACATATCCAGATGTTTTCCCAAATGTCAGAACTTACTAGATGACCTAAATATTGCATCCAGTTTATCATTAAATTTTAAACAGAGGTGTGTTGCTTAACAGAACCTAACAGTACTTTATAGATGTTTCTTATCGCCAATTGGTATTTTGTTTTTCCAAATGCAGTCTGTTCATCAAAATGGAAATGTTGCACTGATACTTCCTTACATAAATTTTATCTGCAGATATTCAGACCATCTGTCCATAGTATTTTTAACCTCAGAGGTACAGATTAGAGCCATTTATCTATAAAGGTGATGTTATTTCCATAAATGACATTTTTTTCTAATGCTCCATTAAGACTGAAATCCAAATAATGGAGCTATTTAACCCTTAACCAGCTTCAAGCTACTTTCATATCTCTCCTGAACACATTTCCCATTATGAGATGCCAATTTAAATACATCAGAGTATATAATAATTTCACAGGGTGTGGAAGTTGCAATGTGAGATGCTTTGATGCCATGCCCGGAGAGCAAACAAGTGGGAGAAGCCATGGCTGCTTTCCCTCCCCCACAAAAATGGAAAGTGCAAATATATCTATTGCCCATGCAGCAACTCGTCAAAAGAATTGAAAAAACATGTGGCACAATAATTAGTAACTTCAAGCCTCTGCTAAAATGTTTCTATAATGCGTAAGCCATACTGCTGAGAACTTTAAAAAAATGTCTGCTAGATCTCTGGGAGACCTGGCCCCTTTCCAGGTCCCAGGTGATGTTGGTCAATATTCCTGTCCCTGGTTGCTTAGCAACAGTGATGCAGCATCCTTAGCGCCTCGGCATCTGCAGCCTTAGAACAGTGGCTCCATATTTCACTGTTTTACTTTTTTGAACAAATGAAAGTGAAGGGTCTTGGGGCCTTATACATGTGTATTTCCTGTCGGTCACTCTAGACCCAGTAAGCCATAGCTGGGTACCATGATGTTTGAAGAAATCAATAGCATGCTAAGATAGCTCAGTCGGCAGAGCATGAGATTCTTAATTTCAGGGTTTTGAGCCCCATGTTGAGCGAAAGATTCCTGCACTAGATAACCTTCATGGTCTCTTCCAAATCTACAATTCTATAACTCTATGCTGTTAGGAGAATATGAATGTTCTGCATGGGTAAAAATTCTGATTTTGTCAATACTCTTCATTGCATGGGCTTTGCATATGTATGGGGTATATACACTTGTTATTTTAAAGGAAAGGAAACTTAATATGGTCCAAAACGTGCAACATACCTTGCACTTTCAACAAAGAGTTTTGATGCCGCCAAACGCATATGTTTCTTCCCAGCCAAATTTTCCATCATACTCTTCCCTTGTGTACAAGCAGCAATGCTTAGCATTCCCTGTCTCTCCGCATAATCGCTCCTGTAAAAAACAAGCCATTGCCAACTGGAGTTAACATTACCGTACAATATAGGTCAAAAACTAGGCTTTAAAACCATCTGCCAGCACAAGGATGTTCGTGTCCCTTGGTGGGCAGCATCTACCTGTGGAACGCTCTGAAAATCAGATTGTCTGAACTTGATGCAAGTTCACACTTCAATTGTATAAACATTAGATATTGTTCCAACACAGAAAAGCTAAACAGAAAGCTAAAATTGGAAGAAGAAAAAAAACCAACAGCCACCTCATATACCACCTAAATAAATAAAAACCTGGAACTCATTCTACCTTCAGGGAGGTAGCTGTGTTGGTCTGACGCAATCGAAATAAATAAAATTATTATTTTTTTGTCCAGTAGCACCTTAGAGACCAACTAAGGTTGTTCTGGGTATAAGTTATTGTGTCTGAAGAAGTTTGCATGCACACAAAAGCTTATACCCAGAACAAACTTAGTGCTACTGGACAATTTATTATTATTATTATTCATTCTACCTTGTCTGCCTTATCTGCTTCTTTTCGTGAAAAGAGAGATAAAAGACTACAGCTGAAAAGCGCTGATGGGGAGTTTCGGTTCTGAGGCACGGATTAAGGTGGGTGAGAGGGGGGACGTGCCCCGGGTAGTAGGTTAGGGGGGCATTCTGCGTAGGAGAGAGAGGAGAGAGGCATGCCATGCCTGTTGGTCAGTAACTTCTTAGTTTAGTAATATCTGCATGATCCTTGTTCTGATGTCATGTCTGAATAGCTCAAGAGATTTTGATAACAAAGCTTATACTTTCATTCACGAATTGTTCTGAAACCTGATACAAATCCAATCCAGGATGACCAGTGATCTGGCCAATCGTATTCTGCTTGTGGCAAAATCTGAAGCATCTGAGTTCACAGGGAAATTTCCTGTCCATTTGCATAAATGTCCGTGGTCGTTTCCTTGGCAGAAACAGCACATGGCCATTCTGTGCACCATCTGCAAAAGCCCATAGTACCAGCTTGAGTGCCAGCCGATTTAGGCTCAGCAGGCTCTTTGTCCTGGTATGAATGTTTTCGTTTCCAGGATGTACTCTACAACTTGAGAGACTGGCTCTTACTACAGCAATGGCGTTTGGAGCAAGATTTATTTAAAGGAAATCCATTGCGAAGAGGGGGATTGCACCTTTAACATCAAAGTCTCCACACAAAATGTTATGCCTCCACACCGTTCTGAGGCCGTTTTAGCTCTTCTTCAGTATTTTTATAGTATCATTACTATATAATGTTACAATATAATGTTACATGATATTATCTCAATGTTGAAAACCACCTTGGGTACCATTTTTGAGAGAAAGAAATCCCACAACAAATCTGATAAACTGAAACAGTCTAGAGGACATGCAAAAGGCATTTGGATAATATGCAGTTCAAAACAACCTATGCTGTTAAACCTGAATGAAAATGAATAGGAGTTTGGGAAGGCTTCTCATATCAAGCTGAAATGCTAAAAATCATTTACAAGAAATAATCTGGACAGCTGGGATATACAAATTATTCATGTACAAATTGCCGATATTGGAAACTGGGAGGATTCAGCATAAAAATGGGCCAAGGAGAAAGAAGAAGCACTTCTTCTCTACCTCCTGGTTTTCTGCTTAAGACTCCATCCTCCTGTGGTTGATTCTCTCTCTTTATTTATTTATTTTTAAAAGGGTCAATGTTACATGCAACTGTATACCATGTTTAGTTTGGCCCTATTTACTTTTACCCTTATGACTATCCTGAACATAGACAGATACAACCTAGGGCAAATAGTATAATGCAATAATTATTATATCCATTAGAGGTCAGCAGAGTTCTATTGTACACATTCAGAAGGACAATGTAAAAGCATTTTCCCAACCCCTGCTATGCCGTATTTATCTTTCAGTTCTAATATTCATAATGAACTGTATTTATCAACAGCATGAAAACTCTCGGGTTAAAGTTGGCTAAAAGACACTGATAAAAGATGGGATGCTATTTCCATTCATTAGATATGGGAATGGAATGGAAAACCCTACAGAGTATTTCACAAACTAAGGAATGCTTGAGAACAAAATATTTCATATACAGCTATATAGTTCAAGAGAAAGATGCAGATAAAATAAATTCATCCACAAAACCACTATTCAACAGTCAATACTGCAGAGACTGAAGAGCAAGAGAATGACCACCCAAGGGCCCATACAGATGTAATGGGGAAATATCTTAACAGAGGTAATGGGACGCAGGATTGCATGGCCTCTTCCCCAGAGTAATTTCAATCATCCCACCACAAACAATGTGGTTAAATATAACAAGCATCTGATACCAACTTCAAAGCCTAGTTAAGAGAACTTGGAAACTTGTAGCTTTAACTAACAGTTAATGGTGTCAAAATATTACTTAACCGAGGCAAAGATGGAATGGGGAAATTCCTATTGGAAGGGTCTGTGCTGTTCCAAATATTTTCACTGCTGTTAAGAGATCAGCTCTGTTACATCTGCACCAGGTTCTGCACCAGTGAAAACCCTGCACAATGGGGCTTAGGATTGGGCATAGGGGGAGAGATGGGGAGATCACTCTGCCTGGTAAGCTAATAAACATGCACAGATGGAAAAATTGTAACAATACAATGTTGAATTCCACCCCATATTTAAATATAATTAATGGGGTGGTATTCACTTAAGTTTTACTCAGAATGGATCCACTGAAATTAATGAACATGATGAAATTAGGTCCATTAATTTTAACAGGTCTACTCCGGATAAAACTTAGCTGAATACCACCCAATGTTTCTTAGAAGCTGAGATTTGTAAGTCATGCATCTACTTACATTGCCTTTTTCTTTGCATCCGTGTTGTATGCTGCTTTATCATCTAATTCCAAAGCCTTCTGAGAGCAAGTCATAACCATTTCATGATCATGGATGGTATGTGCAAAATGTGCAAGTCTGGTCATTGTCTGAAGTTCCACGAGTGAGTCTGACCAACTGCACTCCAATGCCATTTTCACCAACTGCAAATGATAGTCAGATAATAATATTTTCCTGTGTCCACAATGCTAACATCTAATACTGTCAGTCTAAGATATTTCACAGAATGAGATGTTGCACACTGTTGTTGCGCAGCACTGGAAGACCTGATGCTGCAGTGCTGCGCAAGTATGGATCTATTTGGAAACAGAGATGGCAAACTACTGAGAGTACCATGTAGAAGCGGGATATAATACATGAGCAAATAAAATTAAGGAAAACTCTTTGAAGAATTCAAAGAAACCTATCTCCTTTGCATTGGAATTGAAATCCTAAAGGCAACCATGTTCTCAGTGCCTGTTTTTTTAGAGCACAAAGCCTTCATAGTGTTTCTCAAGAGGCTCAGAATGTAGATAGAATCATACACTTTGGATCACTTGGGCAGAAGAAAGAGAATAATTGAATCTCCTCTTAATGAGAACATTAGCAAAGGAGTAGCAGCCCTGGCCAGAGCTAGTCCAGGACATTTATAGGTTGAATTGGCTGGCATGTAAGCCGAAAGGTGACTTGGCAGGAACACACAATTACATAAGCTCCCAGAGAAGAAATGGCGTTTGCAGTTGTGCTCATGTGAGTGAGCTAAACCATGGTTTGGTTTGGCTCGGCTTGCCATCGTTTGCCTCACTTAAAGCAAGCTTGTTGTTGTTTAGTCGTTTAGTCGTGTCCGACTCTTCGTGACCCCATGGACCAGAGCACGCCAGGCACTTCTGTCTTCCACTGCCTCCCGCAGTTTGGTCAAACTCATGCTGGTAGCTTCGAGAACACTAAAGCAAGCTACTAGCTGTAATTGCAAACATACAATCAAAAGAACAACATACGTACATGAGAGAGGTTTGGAAGCGAAAACTCCATGAGACCCAAACCATTGCATGAGTACATTTCCAGACCAATAAAAACTTTTGCCATGGGATTGAACCCCTCTTCATTACCCTGAACAGAAAGAGACATCAATATTCAGGGTGTTTGCAGAAAACAAGGCATATTATTGAATAGTTAAAGACCGATACTTTACGCTACTTACTAATCCACATGGATAACTCTATAATGACTTTGGGTTGTATCTAATGGTGGTTTTGCTTTAATGTAAGAACTGCTGCTTGGGCGAGTGAGGGCACCTGATTTGTTCCCTCAATCCACTTAAGTTGCCTGCCCCTCCTGACAAGATGCTGCTGAAAGTGTCACAAGGATTTGCTGGGACAGAATGGGATGCAGTTTAGAGGATTGCAGCAGAAGGGGGTAGACCTGCAAAAACAGGGTGCCCTGACTTCCACAAGCAGAAGTGTTTCTGGTTAACTGCCTGCTTTCCTGTATGAGAACGGGAAAGGAGGAAATGAGCTCTCTTTGCAGTAATGACTCTACAGTGGTACCTCGGGTTAAGAACTTAATTGGTTCTGGAGGTCCATTCTTAACCTGAAACTGTTCTTAACCTGAGGTACCACTTTAGCTAATGGGGCCTTCCGCTGCCGCCACACGATTTCTGTTCTCATCCTGAAGCAAAGTTCTTAACCCGAGGTACTATTTCTGGGTTAGCGGAGTCTGTAACCTGATGCGTCTGTAACCTGAAGCGTCTGTAACCCGAGGTACCACTGTATTCCGTCCCTGAAACAAAGTATTTATAAAGAAGTGCCCAACAGTGGCCTTTATTTTTTCAAACAATTAGGCTTGCTACCTCGTCATCGACTCCAAGCCACTTCCCAATCTGATGCTGAACTAGCTGTTTGGCTTTCACCCAAGTAGCAATGACCTGCTGACGCATAGCAGCAGGCACCGGCTCATCAGGTACACTCCCATTTGGCAAATGCATAGCAAATTCACAAACCTAAAGAAGAATATTTTGCAAATGTGAAAGAAGAAAAAGTTAATGCACGCACAAAATTAACAAATATTCTGTTTTATCCAGTTGTTGAACTGAGATTACTACACTTGGTATATCTTTCCCCCCAAAAAAATCAATGGTGAGATTCATAATCTTGGCTTGCTTGCTTGCTTGCTTGCTTATTTATTTATTTATTTATTTATAATATTTCTATACCTTCAAGGCAGCATACATAAAACACACACAACAGAACCACATATACAAAAAGAGCATAATATTGTTCCTTGATCTTTGAGACAAGGCACATAAAAAAATCATAATCAATGCATAATTATTAATTGATCATACCACTGTTGAGTTAAATATGCTAAAGGGCCTGCCGTTAAGGCTAAAATAATATTTTCTTATTAGAGATGGCAGAGCTTTCAAGGGACACCTTGGAATGACTTGGGGGTTTTCTTGGGGGAGGAAAGTGGGAGGGATAAATCAGGAAACCTCCCCAAAATTCCCACACCAATCTCGGGTGTTCCCACCACAAATCTCCAACACTTTACTCATTCTCCAAATCTACCAACCCCCAGAACACATCCTCCATTTCCCTCCCCTCCCCTTGGTGGTGGAATGGTAGCAGCAGTAGCAGCAAGCAAGACAGCTGAAAATTGTGCCTCTTTCCCTCTCCTCCTTCCCCTTTGCCTTGTTGCTATGAAGGGACAGAGTAGACAGTAGTAGCTGTACTTCTTTCAAGGGCTCCTGACATTGTCTTGCTCACCATTATTCTTTAAACCCTAGTGTGAGCACCTTGAATTGTACCCAGAAACAAACTGGCAGCCAACAAAAAGCTGTTGTAGAATAAGCGTTCATGTGAGTTCTAGAGGCAACGCCAGCAAGCAATCTTGGACAAGCTGAAATTTCCAAGTCATCTTCAAGGGCAGTCCACATAGAGCACATTGCAGTATTCTAATCTGGAAGTTACCAGAGCATAGAGTGCTATGGCCCAAAGGGACAAGCCAGTCAGAGCTACAGTGAAACCTCAGTTGTCAAATGTAACCCATTCTGGAGGACCGTTCGACTTCTGAAACGTTTGACAACTGAGGCGCAATGGGCGGTCGGCCATTTCAATGGAGAAAAGGGAGAAGCGCACCTTGGAAGCCGTTCGACTTCCGAGGCGCGTTCGAAAACGGAAGCATTCACTTCCGAGTTTCTGGTGTTTGGGTTTCGAGATGCTCAAAAACCGAGGTTCCACTGTAATTAATAATAATAATAATAATAATAATAATAATAATAATATTTATTATTTATACCCAGCCCCTCTGGGCAGCTCCCAACAAATAGGCACTCTTAGCTACCGAGGATCCCTGAGCTTCAAGTGACCGTGTTGGATCCCGAAGCTGCAAACCGGCTCTTTCCAGGAGAGTGCAACTCCATGCAAAACAAGCTGTCTTCCCACCTCCTGGACTCAAGAACTTGGAGCACATAATGCCATTGTCTCTTTGGGATTCAGTTTCAATTTGTTGACCCACATCAACCCATTGCTGTTTCAAGCACTAATCCTCCATGCAGTTAAACAAGAAGCATTATGCCAGTTCAAGGATACATTTCAGAAAGGGGGAAAAAGGAATTGGGTGGGGGGCACAGAGCAGAGCCAGTGAGGAGCGCAGAGTGTCCCAAGGGACGGACAGAGAGGCTTGGGGGGCCACATTCAGATCCCAGGCCTGAGGTTACCCACCCATGGTTTAGGTCATACTCAACTAGATGGACTAATGATCTAACTTTCTCATGCAGCTTTCCATGCTCCTAATATGAATAAATATTCTCTAACAGTCTTTTACACCCAAGGCCCTGGACATCTGAGAGCAAAACAAACAGCACCTTCTCGACCAGGCTTAACAAGCTGGCCAGCCCAGTCTACACAGCCTGTCCTCCATACAGAAGACAAATGAGATGAAAAAAAGTGCACCTCTATGGCTGCTTTAATATCATGGATCCCAGCTGAATCCACAGATAACACTGGCGCAGAAGATAACGTTGGTACTTTTGGAGCAGTCTTTCTACGTTTGGTGGGCCCTTCTTCTGGAACTTTCTTTTCATCGGGTTTGGAAATAGGCTTTGGGATCCAAGGAAGAATTAGCCCCCGAGCCAGAGCATTACATAATGTCACCAAAATAGTAGTATTCCTGAACAAGAAACAAAACGAAGGACGGAAAACCATCCACAAAGATATTGTTACAAACAGAATATGGAAGCACTTTTCGCCACCTACGTAAATAAATAAAAATACACGCGAAGATTAAAATGAATATGCTCTATATAACATACCTGAAAATTATGGTAAGAATATACAAATATGCTAACATTTAAGTAAGAAATATAAGCTCAGTGACCAAAATGGGGAAACATTCTCATACATCCCAATCTTCTTGGGATCAGAATTAAAACTCACAAGTCCTCCATTCAACTTCTTGCCATGTCTGAGTGATAACAGAGTGTTTGTAACAATCTCCTTTTAGCTAGTTGTTGTATGACTGAGGACCTCTCTCATCCAGTCTCCTTTCCAAATAATGCTTGAAAAATGTAGGATTATGTACAGTATGATAATAGCACGGACACTATATTCCTGTCCTGACATAATAAAAGGGGAATAGACTGTTTCCCTCTACATACTGTGGGTGAAATACGTGCAAGTCCTGGAATGTAGGACTGCACTGCCTCCTAAGAAATACCTTTTTTTTGTATTGTCAGCAGCTCCATGTGAGGGAGAGTGTACCACTTTCACAACTCAGCAGGGACCATGTGGAAGTGTCAGTTGTAAGAATCATTGCCTCTACATGGGGTCTATATCTATGGCTGCCACAAGCTGTAAGATGACAGTGGCCTGGAAAATGGATTTCGCAAACCGTGGTGGCTGCCAGGGAAGAACGCCTAGAGCATACATTCAACACCTTTGTGTGATCCCTGCTGGCAGAACTGCATAGCCCCCTCTTGACTAACATGTAGTAGGGATGCCAATAGTCTGAACTGGTTACAAAACATCATCTGGTTTTTTTCAACAGGAAAACAATGAAATACAATTATAAAAACCAGTAAATTGTTCATAATAGCTTACATACTAGTTATATTTGTAATTCAGCTGGCCTGCAAGCCATGTCACATAGCCTGTCTTCATTTAAAAAAAAATAAAACAACAAAAACTTTTAAAAACTCAAACCAGGTTGATTTTAATTGTTAACTATTTACAATAAACCCTATGCATTAAATCTGAATGCACCTAACAGAATCTGTCTAAATGCCAAGCTATTCAGAATTAAGGAAATGGTGCATGCACACATTTTCCTTTTGACTATGCACAGCACAGTTTCATTGCTATTGGCCACTCTGCTGTCACTTATAAAAACTGTGTTTAGTCACTATTTCAGATGGATGAGATCTGGATAGATAAAGCATATAAAGTATGAAAATCAGCTGAAACATGCTACTAATTACCACAATAAAATCCTTCCAAACCAATGTATTTTAGTGATGCTGAGGCACAGCATGGTAAAAATAAAAGTTATGGTGTTAGTAAAATAATTCTGCATAAAACATCCCATCAAACTTTTAGAACTTACCCAAAATGTCCAATATTCCTAACTGCACTGAAAAGAGTATGCAGGGATTCCACAAGTTCTCTTTGTCTTTTTGCAGCAATAAGGTGTTTATTGTGATTTAAGACATACACTACAGTGTTATGTACAATCCATGCTTCATTTAACTCTTCTCCAATTTTGGCAGCCCGTAGAAAGTTTTCCATAGCATACTGAGACAAGCGGTCAATCCAGGAGCTATGAAATTGAGAGTAAGCAAGGATTTTTATATTGCTCCCCCTGCTGAGAATAAAATAAAACAGCAAAATGCATACACTAAGGAGTACCAGCCCTCAAGTCTCTCAAACACTATTATTTCCAAATGGTACCATTAAAATATCTATAGTTCAATCCTCAGACCTTCTCTTTGCTTTTCTGTTTTACTAAGGCCAAAGTAACCCAGGGTCATGAATACACTCATGCCTCTTAAATGTACATATTCATATATACATGCACAATCGCCAACACAACCTTCATATAGAAATACAAAGAGTATTCTGACTTCCCAAGGATTGAAAAGGCAGAGTTGTGGAAACTTATGGTTTTCCCAGTTTCTGATCTCCACATTGCCAGCTGCTGCCTTAACTTTCTAAAAGTCCACTCCATCTACACAACCCACAACTGAAGTTATCTTCTGCCACACATGAGAAAGGTTTTCTCTAATGAGCAAAGAGTAGTCTTGGTGGATTTTCAATAGGAAACAAGATTGAGGCAAGGATGTGATTATCAAAGCCCAGTCCCATTGGCCTTTTACAAAAATGGGAAGAGATGAGAACTTGATCAAACCATATTCCCCCATCCTAAACGTTACATCTTCTAGGAAAGTCTGGTCTAATCTGGCCCAAGTTAATGTGCAGTAAAATAGATATTTGACCATAGTCCCTTTGCATTTGTTTCTACCAACCATTCTGACCAGGAGGAGTTGTGCATTTGGTCTGAAAATTTTGGAGCCCCAAGCTTAATGAAGTATCAGCTTTTACAGTTTGATAGTACAACCGTGAGGCAGCAAGGTATGTATGCTGGCAGGAGAAATAAAACGACGGAAGAACCATTGTCAAAGGGAATGCAGATGAAAATAATTAAGGATGAATAATTTCCCACTAGATACTTCTTTGGTGCAATGCTTTCTTAAACCGCGTACAGATTTCTAATTATTTTAATGTGGGCCTGCTGCTTTTCAGCTGCAGGATTCTGTCTAACTTATCTACAGTGACAGGGTCCCTCCAGGACATGAAAGATCAGTGAACCACTCTGCCTTGCTTTTCTGGAAAGCTGAAATATGCAGCCATGTAGCTTCAAGCAGCATTTCCAGTAGCAGCAGTTCATATTGTCATGCCCCATGCATCGTATGTCATGCTTATTTAACAAATTTATGTCTTCTTGCTTCCAAGTTGGACTGAAGCCTTTGCCTCTTTTTTTAATTAAACATGAGAGATCTGTTTCAAGGGTCTCTGTTTCAAGTATTTATTTGGCACTGCATATAAAACCAGCTGACCCCGATTGCCTAATATTTTTTAATCCCAGACAGTTGTGGTGTCCATTTATTCATATACCCTAGTAGTTAGTAGTTAGCTCTGTGGGGAGGGGGACTCTGTGGCTGGGCATGCAATATGCATTTTTGTTCACATTACTTGGATGGACAAATCCATCGCAAAAATTGGAGAAGTGCAAATCTCCAAGTATGGCTATGTTTCATAGAATCATAGAATTGTAGAGTTGGAAGGGACCAGGAGGGTCATCAAGTCCAAAGCCCTGCAATGCAGAGGTTTTTTTGCCCAACATGGGGCTCAAACCCACAACCCTGGGATTAATAGATGTACTTATTAATATAATTGTGATAAATCTACTGGAGAGTCAACTTTTACTGAACAGATTTGGGTGTCAACAATAAGCTAAGAGATGTGCTACCCTCAAAGTATATTCTTGCCAATATTAATTACTGTGAAAAATGCAGGTGTGGAAAAATGACTACACAGACATGTCATTAGAGGCCAATATTCAAATTTTGCATTTCAGAGTTTAGACAACCACACAAAAATTTAAAAGATGATCACTTAAGATTCACTTAAAGATCACATTCACAATTCAAAAATTAGTATACATATGTAACTGCTCTAAGGGTTAATTGCAGTGAGAGCATGAGAAAAGCAGGTTCTTCAGATCAAACCACCTGTATGTCTTCCATTCTGACTCATGCCCAGTTTGTGCTTTGTGCATAGCGTGTCCTGCAGAGTGCAAACTCGTATCTACAGGGACAACGGCGGGATCATTCAGCTGGACACCTTCCGTTCTTAATAACTGAATAGTAGCCTAAAAGAGGAGGCACAAGAGGTAAAACAGAAAACAAGGCATTGATGGCATATGCGGCATCAAAATTATACATCTTCTAAAACATAAGTGGGGACACGGGTGGCGCTGTGGGTTAAACCACAGAGCCTAGGACTTGCCAATCAGAAGGTTGGCGGTTTGAATCCCCGTGACGGGGTGAGCTCCCGTTGCTCGGTCTCTGCTCCTGCCAATCTAGCAGTTCGAAAGCACGTCAAAGTGCAAGTAGATAAATAGGTACCGCTCTGGCAGGGAGGTAAACGGCGTTTCCGTGCGCTGCTCTGGTTGGCCAGAAGTGACTTAGTCATACTGGCCACATGACCCGGAAGCTGTATGCCGGCTCCCTCGGCCAGTAAAGCGAGATGAGCACTACAACCCCAGAGTCGGTCACGACTGGATCTAATGGTCAGGGGTACCTTTACCTAAAACATAAGTAGCTGTGGCTTGGAGGGCAAAGGTGTCTGGTCTATCTAGCTCAGTATTGTCTTCACTGACCAGCAGAAGCTCTCCAGGGTGGGAGTGCCAGCTTGGCCCTGTGACCATGGGTGCTCAGGGCTGTGGGTGCCATGCAGTGTGCATGGCCCTGGCACCGAAATATGTGGGTGCCCGGCCCCTTCATGGGGAATTTTGTGGGTGCTCGGGCACCCAGGGAGTTGCCACCTATGCTCCACGTTTTCAGGGGATTGAACCTGGGCAAAGTAGATGCTTTACCCCTGAGCTACAGCTGTTCTCCTTACAGGAGAGGGAAGAAAGGGAGCATGCCAGCCAAACACTAATATGCAGGTTTCTCTACATGTTTTGTCAGCTCAAGCAATCCGTCTTTCAATAATCCGTCACACTGGGAAAAAAGACAAAGTTTATCTGAGGAGGAGAGCTGGGAGAAATATACTGCTGTGTCATGTGGGAGGAAAAAACTGAGGGGAGCGTGCCTTCCTCCCACAATTCTTCGCCCCTGCCTGCGATCATGTGATGAGAATAAACCCACACCATTGGCCCGGCATCCCACAAGGTAAATTATCAAATTCTGAAGAACAATATTTAGTAGTTGTAGCATCCTTTTAACCCTGTACTTTTAGAGAAATTCCATCCTCTGGATCTTTTAGTGTGGTAGCACCCACACTTTGGAAATCCTTGCCGATTGACACCATGCAGGTGCCTTCATTGTATTCTTCTAGGTGCGTGCTAAAAGCATTTTTGTGTTGGCAAGCCTATCCAGACATGTAGACTGTTGACATATGTTTTAATCTAGTTTTTACCTTATCATTAATTTAATTATTTTAAAATGTTTTAAATAGCTGCTTTTAACATTGTGGTGTGTTTTGTTGTTGTTGTTTTACTGATAATTGTTTTGTGCTGTTCTTTTTGTAAACCACTTTGATGTTTTATTACAATTAAGTGAAATATAAATCTTTTGAAACAAATGAAACAAAAGATATAAATAAAGGCATTTCTTTTTCATGGTCAAATCAATGATAATACTATTGGTATGGCTTACATAAAGTTGAAAAAGAATCTGTCAGGGAACTGCCATCGGAGCTAGAGGCGGAGGGAAGGCTCCAGAGGGATGCCGGAGAGGGTCCCAGTAGGGAGAGGGGCAGCCCATTTGCTGGGGAAGGAAATCAGCGTAACACCAGTGGAGAAGGGGGGCAGATGGGGGAATCGGAGAGGAGGCTCCAAGACTCCTCGCCGGAGACCAGCGGAGAGAGTACGGGTACTCCACTGCCCACACCCTCCCTGTGCAGAAGGCTTCCGCGCAGGGAGACTAGGCGGAGACTAGGCGTCAAAGAATTTTTGTGCTGGAAGAAGTTCAAGAAACGCCCACTGACGGATTCTGTCAGCGACTGAGACAGTCACGATGCTAGAGGCTGTTCAGTCAGAAAGGGTTCAACCAGGTAACCTAGCCAGGAGTGGCGGGAACTTACGCACGAGCAACCCCTAAACCCATTACAGAATCTTTCAATATACCAATACTCATCAGAAGACTAGTGGAGGAGCCAATATTCCCACTAAAAATTATTAATATCGCTGAGCCTGCATTAAGCATACCAAAATACATATTCTGACATTCCATGTTTCCAGAGAAGGCGGGAGTAATGATGAGAAGAAACCCTGTGACAGTTTAAGTGCAAGAAACCCAATTAAATAGTGTGTGGATTTCAGAGCTCTACTCATATAAGAGATAAACAGCACAAGCACTTGCATTAGACAACATTTTTATGGCCCTTTCTCTCGTAAATAAGCAGCCATCAGTAGCTAGCTTGCATAAGTGGATATCACTGCCTTATTAGCATTGCATATATGAAACCAAGGGCAGAAAGAAAGAGATAATTATTTTGATCGCTGTACAATTTACTAACCTCTGCATTAATGAATCTTACTTCTGCTAAAGTTCTTAATAAATCTCTTTCTAAAGAGAAGCATTTGGTGGGTGAAGGTAATTCTCTTTGCACACTTGCTTCCTGTTCCTCATCTGCCATAATAATACTTGCTTTTTTCTTGAATACTAGGAAAAAGAAATAATGTGCATTATTTTAACAACTTTTGTATGCAGGCATATGTTTACATAAACTTTTAAAATGATAAGGCCCTCCTTTCCAGTTTTAAATTTGTCCCTCCCCCATTAACCATGCAATCTAAATTTCCTTTGAGTTCTTGGTAGTTAGAAATACCATGCAGACATACACTATCCTTACATTACATTCTGTAGCTGTTGGGGTACAATTTAAGTACAGATACAGATTACAATATGGTTGCTATGACCTGAAATGACAAATTCTGGTATCTGAGGCATGGGAGCAAATACTTCCGGCTCAGGGTGCAGGGTCCAAAGAAAGCATGCAGGTGAAGGGAGCAGCTGAACTTCCAAGAGGTTATTTTGGTTGGGAGGGAGAGACAAGGAACATTTGGTAGATCTAGGGCTGACCCTGTGGGTTTCAGCAGGTCTACAGGTAGAGTCTAGCACAAAATCTATTTACCACTAGAGTAATGTTATCCATATCTAAATTTCTGTAGCCGATGCCACCAACACACACATCCCAATTCCAGGGGCTGATCTGGTCCTCAATCCCCCCCCCCCCGACACCCAAGACCCCACCAATGTTGACAGCATCAGCAAAATTAATTACTAAATTAAAAATGATTTAATAATCAAACTCTGGGGTAGAAGAAGCCCATTTGATAAGCAGAGAGAAGGTGATAATTCCCTTTCCAGATTATCTACATTTGGACCTTGAGCCAAAAAAAGGCGAGCCATTCTGCTCATTCTGGCTCACTGTTATATCAAATGTGGGAATTGATTTGCCCAAATGCCCCTCTAGGTTGCCCAAATGCCCCTTTGAGGACTTGAACAGGTCAGAAACAGGTTTCTGCTTAAAAAAGAAAAAAAACACATTTGCATTTTCTTGATGCCACCTGATAAAATATTATGCATAATACACTGACTTACACTTCTTGCGTTTTGACACCTTCGCTTGATTGTCATCATACAAGAGGCAGAATCTACACGCAGCCCGACACACATCCCACACACATTGTTTCCGTGCTGTTTTTGCGATTTCTGACCAAAGTCTGATTCTGCACCAATGAAAACAGAGGTCAGCAAACTTTTTCAGCAGGGGGCTCAGACTATATTTTTTTGGGGGGGAAATGAACAAATTCCTATGCCCCACAAATAACCCAGAGATGCATTTTAAATAAAAGCACAAATTCTACTAATGTAAAAACACCAGGCAGGCCCCACAAATAACCCAGAGATGCATTTTAAATAAAAGGACGCATTCTACTCATGTAAAAACACTCTGATTCCCGGACTGTCCGCGGGCCGGATTGAGAAGGCGATTGGGCCAGATCCAGCCCCTGGGCCTTAGTTTGCCTACCCATGAATTAAAAGATCCAAATAAATTTTCAACAACAACAACAAAAACCCTAGGAAAAAAGACTGCACAAACAAATGCAGGAATACATACTCATTTATAGGATGCGGAAACTTAGCCCTTTTTTTTTTAAATGATATTTATTAAGAATTTTAAGATTACAGAAAAGTCAAAGAGAAAAAAAAGAAAAAAGCAAGGAAAAAACAAACCACAATCAAACAATACAAGTCGATAAAAATCAAAAGCAAAAAACAAAAAACATAACACATCAAAATCAAAAAACAAAAATAAACCACAAAAGTTTAAAAACAAATCCAATATTCCCAAATCCGTAACTGTCATTACCTTATTTCATCGACCTCCTCACCCCTCCCTTTTTTGTATTCTAGTTATTGATTATCACAGCAAATCCTTCCCATTTTTCATAATATTCTGTCATTAAATTACCTTAATCTATTTTAACCTTATCTTACTATAAAAAACCCTAAAACTTAAAACTTGAGTCTTATCTATACCAATTTCTCATAACCATGACATATTCTTGCATAGTTCTTTTTAACATTTCTGCTAAAGCCAAATAATTTCGTTCCAACATTTTTTTAATACTCATTAATTTTAGAAAACATTCCTAAATAGAATTTTTGAAACTTTCTCCAATCTTCATCCAACGTCTCCTCCTCCTGGTCACAGGTTTTGTCAGTCCTTTCTATCCCATCCATCTAGTTCATTAACCTGGTAACCTTATGTCCGAGGCCCTTAAGTCTCTTCCATGTCCCTTCCGCAGATCTTCTTCATATTTATACCTGTACTTTACTTTGTCTTCTGCTCCTTTCACTCGTGAAGACTCCAGCTTGAATGTATTTTTGTCCCTTCTCGACAGATCAGCCCCTTTTCCATAGTCCACACTGAACTCCATGTGGTATTTAAAAACATGTTTCAAGGTCCCTCCAAAATTGAGGACCCCCTCAACTCCAAACTCCTCCCGGCCCAACGCCAGACTTGAAAAGTCAAAACATCCCTGCATAGGGGGGTCTATCCAGCCCCCCATCTCCAAACCAAACAAGACTCTATCTCTCCAAATCTGGCTTTTTCCAGGTTCATTCGTCAGGTCCAACCACTCATGTTCCTGCTGGGCCACGGTTCCCTCCATCTCTGCCTCTCGGGGTCCAGCCACAACCTCCTCCTTCATCTGATCTGTCAGAGCACATTCCTGAATTGATTCCTGAGTGGGTTCTATATAGATACCCACTACCTGTCCAAAATTTCTGATCGCAACAGTCATCAAATCCGTCTTCTCATGTAACTGTTCCAATAAAACACTTGTTTTGCAGAAAGCACGCACCAGAGCCTCTGAGTACATTGTTATACAAGGTCAGAAGTCTATTCCCACGATCTTAATCTGTTGCAGCTGCGACGCTCCCCAGTTCAAGTTTAGTAACAGTTTCACAAGCTCCCTCTAGGGGAAGAACTTCTATTTGTATCCAACTCTTTTCTTTTTTTTTTTTTTAACAGCAGATCTAACAACAAAGTTTCCTTTTTCAGATATTTTGTCAATATTTGTTCCTTTAAAGTGCGAAAGAGGACAATGGAATCACTATGTTTCTCTTCTTTTAACTGTCTGTCAAAAACATTTGTCTACAGTCAATGAACTTTCCCAAAAACGTCTGTCCTGACACCCCGCTCCCAGGTTCAAGACGGTGGAAAATTACTTTTCTTACACTCTCTTCTGCAGGTTTAAGCAATCCGGAAAAATCCCCCCTCTTCTCCTGCTTCCGAAGGGGGTTCAGTAATTTTAGATGATGAAAGTTGATCCTTTACAAACGATTTTCTACACTCTAGTTTGCCATGTCTTTGCTTTAATCTATCTACAAGAAACGGAAGGCTGACTTCCTGTTTAGACCTTCCCGCTTCAGTGCCAAATTAAGAGGAATTTCTTAATCCAATTTTCCGTTCTACTCACAGATCGTTGTTTAAAGTCCAATTGTCCAAATTTGATCTGCTCACGGGTAGTTGTTTTTGTAGCCAAATTGTCCGAGGAAAAAGGTAGCGCTCTCCGGCAACAGCTGTGTGGCTTTGCTCCACGGAAGAAGCAGTTGACTCTCAGCACCGCGCCACTAACCCCTCTTTGCTCCGGAGCCCATAATTGGGTTCCTTTATGAATTGGGGGGGGCGCAAAAGGTGCCCGCCGAGTCCCATGGTCACAGGCTTCATCCGCCTGTGATTTTTTAGAGGGTCCCCACTTCGCCGTAGCGGAACAGACCCGTTTCCCGTGGAGCCAGTCCCTCCGGATCAGAGGAATCCGCCATTACCGATGGCGCCACCCCGGAAGTCCGCGGAAACATAGTCCTAAAAAAGATGAAGAGTGTTCCCCTAGCCACAATGACATTTGAACACAATCCATCCCAAACTAAGCACTACTGTTTTCAAAGGGAGAATTAAGCATGAGAATGATCAAATCAGGATAGTCTGTCCTTATTAGAATGAAGGAGTTCTGTGTATTCAGATACAGACAGCATTTCCTGATTTGATTATTGACTGGTGGCTGTAGCAAGCAGAGACCCAGTCCCCAATTCAAAGACTTTACAATAAAAAAAAAATCAAACAAAAAGATTTCTCATTGTTACCTCTCTTTATCGTTTTCGCGTCCTATTCTCTTCAAATGCCCATCTGCTTTCTCCACATTTCTGGAGTGATGCTCTGCTTTTGCACAGAGATAGCCAATTGGACCCTTACTTTTACTTGAAGCAACTAATAGAAAAGGAGAAAAATGCAGACTCGTGATATTACTACCACAGTAATTTCAAAATCTGAATACTAGGATGATTTAGCCACTGAATGAACAACTGCAGGATAAACATACTGTAAATGCTAACTGACTAATTCAACAACAGCAAACAAGTTCAGACATGACCCCAATGGCCGAAAGATAAAGATTCCTATGAAAGATATTAAAGCATCTTCAAGTCTTCGACATGCTACTGTTGACTTGAGGAAATATAAACCTGGAGGGAAAACATTTTATAACACATCCTATCCGCATAATGTATGCTAATGTAACATTAACACTGTTTTTCCATAGAAGCTGACACTGCAGTGTGTTAAATCAAACAAACCCTGGGTTTTAAACTAACAAAAGACAGACAAATAGGAAAAGAGGAGGGGAAGTAGTTACAATCCCCCCCAAAATTGACAAAGAAAGGAAGTTATACTGACAGAGACAACAGGAAAATGAACTGAGCCCTCAGGTATAAAATGACTCCAGCAATACCAATATGTCAAACAAGGATTATTTTAGTAGTGTAATGACAAAGTAGTCATGGTTTTATAAGCATACTACATAAGGCTTTCCTACAAATATAACAAGGTTGGCAATAAATAACATCCCATTATCGTCCTTGACATAATCATGACAGAAAAAGCTTTAATATGGCCCTCAAGCAATAACTCTAAATAATAATACATGAACATAGAATTTTTATTTTTAAAATATTTATGGACCAGGAGGCATCATGGAACTGATAGTATTTACTAGAACTCTTTTAACACAATCCTACACACACCTTCTGAGAAGAAATTCCACTTCAGTCACTGAGCTTCATTCTCAGACAAGTGAACATAGAATTGTATCCCTTACTGATAATCTTTGAAAATTTTAATATGTTTTGCATCAATGGACACACATTATCATATATCATATCATATATTAAGAAGTACACATTCTTACTTCAGAAGTTGTAATTTCAAAACATACCTATCATCTCCTTTCAATTGATATTTTATGTAAAGTGCCTAAGCATTTGTTTGTTTATTTATTAAAGTTAAAGCCTAATTCCCGCTATTTGAGGAGTAGTGAAAATAATGCTATGTGAACACTTTAGCATTTAGAATACATATGCTGAGTGAAAAAAACCTTGCAGGATCAGACCAAGAGTGTGTCTAGTCCTACAGTGGCCATGGGAAACTGCATGTTACATTGCACACAGAAACACAGAATTCCTCTCCCAATGTAAAATATACAGCCCTCTGCATATTTGGGGTGGTGCAGGTGCTCTACAAAAGATCCCAAGTTTTTCCTCCTGCACCAGCATAAATATGAATGTTCACAGAGAAGGCCTTGGTTGTGAGACAACTAGAGGCAGAAAATTTCCAGAATTTTTTTCTTGAGAAAGTAGCTCAAGGAACTTAATGAGGCAGGAACTTATTTTAACTATAAACTGACTTCTTCTCAGATAGCCGTAATCTCTACAGTGGTACCTCAGGTTAAGTACTTAATTCGTTCCGGAGGTCCGTTCTTAACCTGAAACTGTTCTTAACTGAAGCACCACTTAAGCTAATGGGGCCTCCTGCTGCCGCTGCGCCGACGGAGCCCGATTTCTGTTCTTATCCTGAAGCAAAGTTCTTAACCTGAAGCACTATTTCTGGGTTAGTGGAGTGTGTAACCTGAAGCGTATGTAACCCGAGGTATCACTATATTTGCTGATTATTGTGAACAACTCAATGGGAGCACAGAGAAATCCTAGCAAGTCAAAAGTCTGGCCTGTTTATGGCACCAAGATGTACCCAAACAAAACAAACATCCTTACAGGAAAAAGACCCACTGCTTTCAATAAGATTCATTCAAATAAATGGTCTCACATTGATGTACTTTTGATTTAAATCTACTTAACAGTGGCTGTCTGGCACTGAATATGAAGAGGCTCTATTTTGCCTTGGTCAGGCCACACCTGGAGTACTGTTCCAGTTCTGGGCACCACAATTTAAGAAGGATATTGATAAGCTGGAATGTGTGCAGAGGACAGTGACCAAGATGATCAAGGGTCTGGAAACCAAGCCTTATAAGGACTGATAGAGCGATATGGATATGTTTAGCCTGGAGGAGAGCAGATGGAGAGGGGATACAACAGCCATCTTTGAATATCTGAAGGGCTATATAACACGGAAGATGGAACACACTTGTTTTCTGCTGTTCCAGATGGTAGGAGCAAAACCAGTGGATCCAAATTACAAGAAAGGAGATTCCAACTAAACATCAGGAAGAACCTTCTGATGGTAAGAGCTGTTTGACAGTGGAACAGACTACCTCAGAAGGCTATGGACTTTTCTTCATTGGATATTTTGAAAGAGAGGATGGATGGCCATCTGTCAGAGATTCTTTAGCTGTGAATCCTGCATTGCAAGGGGGTTCAACAAGATGACCCCTGGGGTCCCTTCCAACTCTACAATTCTATGAATCTATGAAAGAACAAGAAGTCAGGCAGGTCACCATAAGATATACAACACTTAAACTTATATGTTTTAAAGGAAGCTGGTTGTTTAGAAAGGCAGTAAGTGTTCTGCTACATGATGCCGAAAGTCTTGAGAACCTACATTTCACTGGGAACTGGTGTTTACCTCAATTAAAGCTCATCTTTAATAATTTATGTCAAAAGCCTATTAAATGTTAACTGGAAAGCTTTTGATCACTCAAGACTTTGTCTGAGGGATCACAGTTTTCGCTTCAGGACTGAATTACTAAAAACAGTTTATATGGATTATTTAAAAAAACAGCCTTGATCCAACATTCAAATTTGGCTGGTGTCAGTCTTAAGATATTTTCATATCTGAGTAGAAAAATTAAAAGGTAGTTTCCTTACTCTGGACTAGAGCTGATGTGTTCAGTTCAATGACTGGTTAGAGGCAGGAGAATGGCAACCACTCTGGGATTTGTCACCCCAAATGGACTGCCTCACATTGTTGTAAAGCACATTTCCCCTGAAGATGGAGATGTGAAGACTATTAAAGTCACATTTTCCCAGCAGCTCAAGGTTAGACCTTTGCCCTTGTTATCCTTACAAGAACATAATTTAGGCTAAGAGCGTGACTGGCCCAGGGTCATGTTTGAGCAGAGTTTGAACTCAAGTTTCTTTGTTCCTAACAATCTATCTACTACAGGATTTCCCAAACTTGCGTTTCCAGCAGTTTTCGGACTACAACTCTCATCATCCTGAGCTAGCAGGGCCAGTGCTTAGGGATGATGGGAACTGTAGTCCAAAAACAGAGACCCAGGTTTGGGAAACTACTACCTCATGCAAAACAACACACCTGTTAAGATGGTATGAGTATCATCATATTATCCACTGCAATTTTACCTTGTATCTCCCCCTAGCATTCACGTTAAATAATAATCACATTGAATGCACACCCCAGCCCAGCAGAAGGTGAAGCCAAGTAGGATTTGTGGATAGCAAGCCAAAGAAGGTCCTTTTCTATATAGGGGAGAAGTATGGCCAGCAGTGTGAAATGTAGTCAACTGGTAAATATGGCTACTTTGTTCTTACTGCTAAAGTGAAGGAGCTACTGAATTTCCATTTTGAAGTTCACTATAAACCTTCTCAATGTGAGTTGAGCTGCAGCACGTAAAATGAAACTTGTGCTAGTTATACACTCTGCTTGCCAGAGGCAAGTACCTGCCATGAATAAAGGGTAGGAAGGGTAGGAAACAGCCACTACAATGAATGGAGCGGATATAGACGCAGGATCCACAAAGTTTTCACAATTCATTACACTCTACTCCTCCTGGCTCTGTATTTGACAGCTGAAATCCAATTCTTAGGTTAGGCAAAATATCACCAACATAAGCTTCGTCAGATAGATTATAATACCTTTAACTTCATTTTCACTATCAAGGACAATCTGAAATGCCTCGGGAGCGAGTGCATGGCCAGCATTCACCAACAGAGACCGTTTTTTCCTCACGCTAGCCTTTTGAGTCCCTTTTTTAGCCTAAACAAAGGAAATCATTTGCTATTACACAGGTAGGAGCAACAATAAAACGTGGCGGTGTACCCCCGTCCCCTGAGAGATGTCAGCCACCCTCCCCTCGTTCCATTGTCCCTTCCCTCAGTTTTCTTTTCTGGCTGACACTGAAATTTTTGTGGCTACTAGATATGCTCACTCCTCAGTGAATTGTTTGTGGGTAGGAAAGCGGATTTCCTCTTATGGTTACTTTAAAACAAATTTTTTTTGGTCTATAAACTTTAGCATTCCGCTCAGCATACTGATACCTCCCCTCTTGGCATTCACCACCAGCAATTCGACAGAGGCTCACAAGCCCCTATTTTATAAATGCAACTCCTACATTTATTATGTATGCTTTTTCTGGGGCCTCTTTTAAACACTATCTCTCTTCACACCCATTCTCACTCCGGGATTCATGCCAGAGAGACTACATTAGTGTCTTATGTAGCTTCGGATATTATGATTTTCTATATTATTTTGCATTTCAATTGCATTTTTCTCATTTATTGTAAGCCACCCAGAGTACATTCATGTTATGTGAAAACATACAAATGGATAAAATAAAATAATCATGGCTCTTTACTGTTAATTAGGATTTCTGGAAAATCCTAAAAAGTGTTAAAATTATAATCATTGATGGGAGTGAGGAAATACAAACTAAATTTATTCATTTAGCATTTATCTCCCAAAATATACATTGGGCATAACCCTTTATTTTAATATTTTCAACAGGTTGTTTTGTGATGAAGAACGATCTGCTACTTATCTCAGTCAAATCTGCACCTGCTTTTTATTTGTTTTATACACACAGAGAGAGACATGAGTATCTAGTTTATAGATAGATTATATTATTACTGATATACTTGAATAACTTCACCAGCAGTTACCTGTTCAATCATCAAGCTTGCTTGGTCTTCTAGACGCTCCAGGGGCTGGTATAACATTGTATTTAAGCTAAGCCGATTGAATGCCATTTTAAGGTATTCATGATACAGCCCCTTGTTATCAAGATAAATTGCCTTCTGCAAATGTTCCATGGCAGCCTCTATTCTGTCTCCATTTTCTTCAATGCGGGCAATTTCCATATGAACTTGGCAACGTAACAAAATCAACATGCTAGAAAACATAACCATATTCAATAAAACTATGAAGAGGCGCTTTCTTCTTATGTGATGCATCTGTATTGCAATAATGATTTATTTGGATGAAAAAACCTTTCCCTTTTCCACTTGCAGTAAGTCTGGCAAAGAGAGAGTCATATAAATACGTATAATGATCATAACTGGCTCTTGAAGGGCAACGACAGAACAATTTTCAAAGGATTCATGTATATGACTTAATCTACAGCATAAAATATTACCTTACAGTGAAATACCTGTGGCGTTATTATAGTCGCATAGGAAGGCTAGAACACTGAGAAGCTTTAGCTCAGTGGTAAAGCCATGGGTTGTTTGTATATGCGCCAGATATCTGGTTAAAAGGATCTCTATAGAAAGACTGGGGAAAACTGCTGCCTGGAGAGCTAATGTGATAAGCCAATAGTCTGACTCAGTAAAACGCAGCTCCTTGATACATCAGATGTTCATACAAAGGGTATCAGATCCCGTAAAACAGGCTTCCTCAAACTCGGCCCTCCAGATATTTTTGGCCTACAACTCCCATGATCCCTAGCTAACAGGATCAATGGTCAGGAATGATGGGAAGTATAGTCTCAAAACATCTGGAGGGCCGAGTTTGAGGAAGCCTGCCATAAAACAACAAGCAACACATATCAAAACCCATTTACCTGTCAATTTTCTCTAGGATTTCAGCAATAGCTAGCAATGGTCTTCGGACATGCTGTTGCAAGTTGTGCTGCAGTAATGGTAAGCAGGTATTCCATAGGGTAGCACATACTGCCTGAATAACGTTAGGGTCCTTCAGTCGAATGGCACGATTCAAAATTAGGTCAAGTTTCTGTATTGTTTTTAGCTGAGCCTACAAGTATAAAAATACACTTTGCATTGATTATAGAAACAATGTTTCCTGAACTTAATCTGCAGACTAGAGGAAAGTCTGGACAGCATGTTGATAGCATCTCCCAAGAACAAAAACTGTTTCCCCATCTTACTGGTAGTGGATGCTTACCCCTTTCTGAGTGGGTGCCTGTCAAGGTCCCTCACGCTCGGCCGCCATCCCCGGGCAGTAAGAACAGAGTGCACATGGTCAGGCGGCCATTAGGGGATTTACCCCAGCCGCCAGGACGTCTGGCTCGAATTCCTGCCAGCTGCTGCATATCAAATGGGCCACTCAGTGGCCTCTCCGGGGGGGGGGGTGCCTCACAGACTGAGAGTGCATTGGCTGCATGCATGTTCTCACAGCTGGTGTGTTATAAAAGCCGGCAGCACTGTCCTGCAGTAGTAATACACTGATTATGAGGCATAGCACATGAGTTACAGAAATTTGTCTTGCAATTTTCTATGACAACAGTTATTGACCAGCAGACCACTCTCTTCCCTCCAGCTTGGAGCACACTTCCCTATCTTTCCTGTGTAACTATGTTTCATGATTTGGGGAAAAGACACAGAAGGAAAGGGGGAGGGGGAACCCAAATCCTATGTGGAAGGGGGATATTTCTCTACAAAGCAGTGTCAATTAAGGAACAAACATACCTCAACAACACTTTTAGCATAAGTTGCAATTCTAGGCCCAAGTTTCTGGACTTCGCAATCACATTCCAAGCAGTCCAATTCAATTTCTCTTGCTGGATCCTATTAATATAAGCATATTTTTCACCCAGATATGCACATGTTCGTGATTAATCTCTGGTGCAGCCCGATGTTTCATTACAGTGTTGCGCATTTGTGCTTGAAGACCTAGGGTGCTACAAGCACTCGTCAGTGCCATGCGACTTCTAGAAGCACAGCTGTCTTTGTCTGCTGCAGTAAATGCCACAAAGAGGCTTGTGGCACCTTAAAAACAAACTGATCCATTATAGCATAAGCTTTCATGGACTAGAATCTACTTTATCAGATGCACAAAGTGTTATCTTTGGTTGGAATTGTTTCTGCCTTATACACACAATTATAGTACATGCATTGTGGCGAAGTCATCCTCCTGACATTGGTATTGTTGCTGTTTACCTGGGCAGGGCAAGGGAAGGTGAGGGTTGAGTGGCAGAGGACACTTGGGCTGGACTATTGTGCAGATAGATAAGTTCAGACTGCTATCTAACCTGCTGCTACATCCCTGCAATCTTAAAGAGCCTTTGATCTGTGATGATGTTGTATGATAACAAGGATGTGGGCATCTCCCTGTGCTGATATGTATTATCGGTGTATCAATACTTAACATTTAATATAAACAGTGCAAAGGGGATAGGTTAAGAATATACAAGAACAAGTGGATGTCCCCCTTTCCACCCTCTACAATATCAGCACCATGGGCTTTGCGGGGAGGTAGGAACATACTGTTTGTTGTGGCTAAATAGAATTATTTTGTATGATAGGAATTGTGAGAATTAACCACATTGGAATGTATCCAGCTAAGTTATGTTCAGAGTTGTTGTTTAGTCATTTAGTTGTGTCTGACTCTTTATGACCCCATGGACCAGAGCACGCCAGGCACTCCTGTCTTCCACTGTCTCCCACAGTTTGGTGAAACTCATGTTAGTAGCTTTGAGAACACTGTCCAACCATCTCGTGTTCAGAGTAGACTCGTTGAAATTAACAAGTCCATTAATTTGGTCTACTCAAAGCATAACTTAGTTGGAAACAACCCATCATTTCCATCACAAACACAGCTGAGGATAATGGCCACTGGGTCAAACAGGATAGCCAGTCCTTACAAAACTTTCTCAATTTTAAATATGTAGATATACAGGAAAATACTAATTTATTTCCAATGATACATTCTCTCCTTACTTTTTGCAATTAATTGTTCTTTAGAGGGCAATGACTTTAATTGTCTCTGATAATAGCTCTAGGACTGGAATCTTTTCTTCTTTGTTCAGCTTGACACTCATACAAGAATAAAAAATAATGATAAAACAAAGTAATTCAAAAAAGAATTTCCTGACACTCACAGTAATCTTATATTTGAACAGGTCGCTTAAACATAAAGACGCAATAGGTATACAATTTAGTTTCAAGCAAAGTCGAGCCAATTCCAGCAGCAAGGAAATTCTGGAAAAGTAGAAAATAAAACCAATTGGGATAGAAGTAGTGTTGGTAAAGAAATCACTTATTGCTTATCTATTACTATAAACCTAAAATGACAGTACGTTTAAATCTGGCATCAAATCCCCAGCCCAGGGAAATCTCTTAAATTTCGAAAAAGCACAATCCCACCTCCAAACAAATTATCTGAGAAAGGGAGAAAATGGGCATGTAGCCCAGCAAGCCAGTTACCAGAGTCAGCTATTCAAAAAGGAGTGAATGGATGCTGCAATCTGAAACAAGAGGTTAAGAAGAGAGCCATGGATAAAACAGCAAACCCCCACCCCAAATACAGTGGAATGAACATAATGGGAAATGTAATGAATTACTTAAGAAGAGTGAACATTTTCCGAAATAATGGGAGCAGAGTCCTCCATTGGGTTCTACTGCGGATCCCTCCATGCACATATGGTTATGCGCATGGGAAGCTCTGCACTTGTTATTTCCATATTCAATTCTCCCTCCCGACCCAGGACTCCAGCTGTGACTTTGTTTGAGTTGGACAGGAAAGGCTGGAGGGAGGAAGACACAAGCACACAGTCCTTCCATTCTGGGTAATGACTAGCATATGCCAAGGAGGGAGAGAGATGCATGAAACCCTCATCACCATTGGTGCTGGGAGGGATTGTGCCCCAGGGACAAACTATGAAAGATCTTTGGACCAATAGAACTTTAATATAGCATGGGAGACACTCCATCAACTCTTATCTTCTTGGCATGGATGTAAGATAAATAGCAAACGCTTATGTTTTAAAAAAGAGCTTCTAGAGTGTGGCTAACACATGCAACTTACCTATCTTTACGGTTTAATTTCTTTCTAGATCCTTTCAAAATTCCGTATATTGTTTTCAACTCTGTATCAACGTCTTGAGAAATCTCATTTTTATCTAACTGCCTGCAATTATTTTATAATGCAATGATTACTAACAGAAGAGCATCTCAAAACCTATTAAACAATCATCATTTCCCCCTCTAACACAAGCAGGATTTGTGAATACAGTAAAGTATTGTTTTTTTTTTAAAAAAAAACCTAAAATAAATCAAAAGTTGATTTGACCTGTCTTCTAAGATGATAGGCCTTGGCAAGCAAAAGTTACACTCCAAGCAATCTCATTTTTCATAAGAGCATGCCAAATTCAATTCCATTCAGGAAACCAGAAGAGCTGAGTGTGGAGGGAAGGCTCTGAGTGCTTTATTCTTATATTGAGGATCATCACAGTAGCTATATCAGCAAATATTTATGACTGACCCTCTATAAGACAGATCTGCAGCATGTCACTCATCTGCTCACCTAAGCTGAGTAACAATTCAGGCCAACACCTGAATAACAAGCTACCCAGCACACTGCTGCTGGATGTGCCTGCAACTATTTCACAGAGAGAAAAAGGGATGGGGTTAATCCTGCAAGGCAACTGTTCCATACTTCTATGTTGAACTAGCAGTTTTTCTTCCACTCATGGCTTTCTGGATTGCAGCCCACCTCTAGAATTTGGGTGGTATCCAATGCACTTGCTCCATTAGCGCAAACATTTCCATTCTCTCCCCAGATCTTTTCTGGAAGGTTGAGAGGAAATCCAGAAGAGATTTAGGGAGCAAGCAGGAAAAAGAGAGGGAGGCAAAATTCCACTGTGTATCCAAAATTTCCTATGCTGATGGGATGAGTGCACTGAATACTGCCCATATGGTTTAAACCAGAGCTTTCCAAACTGTGTGTCACGACACATCAGTGTGTAGGTGTGTCATGTGAAAACTCCCTATGCTACTCCTGGGTCTGGAAAAGGGCTAGCTTAACCTCCAGTTTGCTAGTAAAACTGAATTACTGTGTCGTGAAATGATGCATGTCTCAAAAGTGTGTCACCAGCATAAAAAGTTTGGAAAGCTCTGGTTTAAACAATTGAGATTCTCATCTATGTTAACCAATACTTACAACTTGATTGTTTGGATTTTATAAATAATGTTCAGATTGGCGGAACTTTCCACTTCGTCTTCTATATCTAAAGCTTCCATTAGTTTGTAACGCACCTAGAAGCAATTATAAAAGTTATATCAGCATTTAAAGCAAGGAGCAAGTCAAGAAAGATTAAAATCCTTCATAACATTTTCTTGCAGGTTTAAGTTTGCAAACGATGCCATTGTCTGACATTACCACAGCAGGATCCTTAGTCTCACCAAAGACCTGAGCAACTTTAGCAGTCATGGAAGAAAAGGAGAGAAACAGGAAGCAGACTGTAGGAATAAATGGACAGGTCTCAGTAGAGGGATGTAGAAAGTGGATTTCCCAAGGATCAGCATTGGGACCTGTGCTTTTTCACTTCCTCACAAATGACTTACGAGTTAAGGGTTAACTGTGAGATAATCAAGTTTGCTGAAGATACCAAACTGTTCAGGGTGCTTAAAACGAAAAGGCATGTGAAGAGCTTTGAAAGGATTTCTCCAAACTGGGAGAATGGGCAGTAAAATGGCAAATACAGTGTAAGAAAGTGTAAAGTGATGCATGTTGGGGCATGTTGGCCATGGGCTGTGGGACTGATCCAGAAGAAACTTCTTATGTTTGAACATTAAGTCCTATACATTTATAAAGGCTTCACTTAGAACACAAAGCTCCCTTCCAGATGGGCTTCCAAAGTGTAGGATGCTTCTCTCCACTAAAGTGAGCAAGACGAATGACCTCAATTCTGGATTGTGACACTACCAACTAAACATTAAGCAATGGGAGCAAATGTGAATTTACTGAATAATCTGCTATGCTACAGAGTTTTAATTCAATCTTTCTTCTGCTTATTTTGCCTATTCCAAAATGAAGCTTTATAGCAACAAACTTAAACAATCCATTTTGCTTAATTAGATCATTTTCAACTTCCCTTTCTCATGGACTGCAGATGTACTGGAATGCTCACTTATTATGTGGTTATTACAGAAATGATTGGTGGCACTTCTGAGAGATGTAGCTCACTAGCCATTTATCAATTGCTTTTGTAGTTTAATACCACTGCTAGGTTGCTTTTCTCAAAGGTACCTTTGAGCAGTGTATAATGCACAACCTGATTTACTTTTATCTTATGGCTTTATTAATATTACATCCATGGGAAATCCAGTACATTTTTCATTTCATGAAATGTTATGCAAGATCCATTTCCCATTACCCCGAGATTGATCATATGGAAAGAAACAAAAAGATGAAAAGAAATGGAACAGAAGGGGGGGAGGGAATCACCAATCGTATTAGGCATCAAATGCATACATATTTGATAATGCTCAGTGATCAGATTTAGCTAGTCATTTTTCCTAGGGTGTGTACTACAGCACAGAGCAAACAACTGCAACAGAATTCTACCAGGGCTGGTTTACTTTTAGTGGTAGAAAGTTGGGTAACCTGAAATGGCCTTCAGTTTTTAAAAAATGGAGGGGGAAGGCGACAGCATTCAACGCATTGTCTTAAACTAATCAGGTTTATCTTCTACCTGAAAGAAATAATTTCCTGACCCACTTTGTTTCATAAATCTCTTTCGTCCAATAAACGTTTCTTGTTGGTTTGTTCGACTCCTGCCTGAGACTCTAAATCATTACGTTTTCCCTCACACAAGTCCCCCACTAGATAATCTGTGGTAAATTGTAGAAATTTGTGCAATGGGTGTACTGTGAGGTGGGTGTATTATATTAATAGGAAGCAGTTAGTGGGAGTGGATCCACCACCTTATTAATTGGTGGTATTAGGTGGTGGGTCTGCTACAGCATGTGGTCCCCAGAGGTTTTCCCAAAGAGAATGAAGCCCTTGGGCTGAAAAAATGTGTCGTCCCCCGCTACAATAGGAAACCATATGATTCCTATGTTGATTAACAGAAGTTACCATTATTGAAAATATTTGTTTATATCTCCCTGGAACATATTCTTTAATAAATGCTGCTGCAGTTGAAGAAAATTCTATAGCTTCTTGCGTTCTGGAAGCATCCAGGAAACACTCAAGCAACTCTCTGAAACACAAACAAAATAATGTTTATTGTTAACACAATTGTGCAAGGTGTTTATAAATGAGCAATGTTACAAAATCACTATATCTCATTTGAAAGCTGCAAAAGACCATTCGTTTATTAAGGTGCTCACATCCAAAGGAATGCACAGACATAGCGGCCTATTCTGATTTACCTGCTGCAAGTGTAACCTTTAGCTTCCATTCCAGGCTCCTTTTCAAATTGCTAGCCATCTGAGGCACTCTTGCATTGATAATCATATGAGTTTTTGTTGATTTCATCTGCATACAAGCTTACAAAATGATACAATCACCATCTTAGAAAAGACATAGAGTGGGATGAAAGCCTCTTGTAAGATAGCACCTGCCATTAGCAGTTTTGACAGGGCTCCTTATTTAAAACGATGAACTTTTTTTTTACCCAGTTAATCAGGGGCAGCTTTTTACTCAATCAAAGTGTTTTAAAATAGATTAATTCAACCCTGTTCAAAAGTTCCAAACCTGTAAAATGTATTTTTTTCCCTTTTCTGTAAGATACATTTTTTCTCTTTTCAGTAAAATGTATTTTACTTTTTATCCTTCCTTTTATGTTCTAAGAAGCTTTAAAATATTTTGTCAGTTTGTTTTTTGCCAGCACTGCATTGGTCAAATTGCTAACTTAAGTTTCCTTTAGGTAACTGACATTTTTGATAGGTTAGATAGATGCACTTGCACTCAAATCATAAGATCTGTGCTTAACATAATTCTCAAAAGAAGAAGAAGAAGAAGAAGAAGAAGAAGAAGAAGAAGAAGAAGAAGGACTGAGCAAGGAAGCTAACAAGCAGTCTTGATGCACTCCTCCTGTCATCTCAAATGCCCTCAATACTCCAATTTGCTTGCTGATTCTAAAGTTATTCCAGCAAAATACTATATTAACAGTCTATTGTAAATTAAACCCTTTGTTTAATCAATGTTGACAGTAAGGGTGAAAGTCCGATGAATGCAGACAGACTTAAGTTTAGAAACCTGAGCCAGCATTGATTGGCTGGAACTTTTTAGCCAGTTCCATTTCTCTTCTCTTTTATTTCCCTCCAGAGGAAATGTTTTGAGCCTATGAAGAGCCATTACAATCATCTCAGAAATACCATGTTTTCTTTCCCTTCCATCAGTCAACACCATGTCCTCCAGTAGTTTCATTTGAAAGAGACAGTAATCTGATTGGCAATAAAAGACCAACAAGTCTCATCCGTTTAGTTCAATGAAAACTGACAAGGACAAAGGCTCCAGTGTGCAGTTGGCATCTCTGCCAAGGCAAAGCATATGTGTGTCAAGAGAAAACGGAAGCTATGCTACAATCTAGGCATATGGAAGGAAGGAAAAGAAGCCAGAAAGCAATCAGAAGTTTGCAAATACACAATGAACCATGATCTCCTGCAATATAATAGCCTGCTAGGATTTCCCTAAATTAAAGTAGGAAAGACCATTCTGTAATTTTGCCAAAGACTGGCTACTTCTGGATCAGCAAAAAGCAGGAGGGGGGAGCTTTAGCTGCTTGTAGTCCTTCGGTGCACAAAATGAAAGTGCATTAAAGTATGATCAGTATACTTATTTGTTCTTTTTTTTGTTATTTATTACATTTCTATTTCGCAAACACCCCAATGCTACAACAATACAATTAAAACATCTAAAATACTGCGTTATGTCAATGTTGGGTAGCGTTGAGGAACGGCGGCATCCTGCTGGTCCCCCAGTCTCTCCATCTGGGACCTTGACCAACAGAAGACATGACTGGAGTGTTTGAATCGGGCCTGGCTGCAAATTGGCCAATAGCGGCTAGGTCAAGGGGCAGGCACTCCTGGGAGTGGGCCTGACTGATTCCCTTGAGGACTTCACTCAGGTCCACTCCTAGAGTATCTAAAGAGTGCCGGGCCTCATACCTGGCACTTTGAATCTCTCTCCCACCCTTGCTATAGCTAGGCTGGCTCCTGCCCATCATGGAGGTAGTGTTCATTTTCTGACTTTACTATGGATTACAATTGTTTGCTGCATTTGGTGCTCAGGAGGAATTTGTTCCTTGGACCAATTAGCTGACCTGGGGTTTTTGCCTACCTTATAGTAACAACATTAGTGGGTAAGGCAATGGGTAAAAGTCATGGTTGGAGGGGAGGTTTTAAGGCTTTGCCTGCCCCTCCAAGGGAATGGGGTATCCCATTAAAGGGATCCTGGTGGAGGTGCTGCTGTCTGGACACCTAGACAGGGGCTAGGGCCATAGCTCTCCTCAAAGACGATTTTTGTGGGGAGTCCCAATTTAATGTATATCATAGGACTCCCTTGCCACAGAGTCGACCCCTGGAAGAATCAACCAGCAGGCGGGCCAGTTGAAATGGTTATACCTAAAGCCTAAGCCTAAGCTATGTACATCTTTAATTAATAAAGTTGCGGCTGAATTTGAACCAAAGAATGTTGTCATGAGTGGTCATTTAATGGATGGGGGGGCAGTGGGTTATGGCGTCTGGGCATGTGAGCAACGAAAAGCAAACTTCCAAAACCAACCAGATACTCTCGCAGCTAAGAATCCCAGAGTTTCCAAGAACGATATCTTTCAGCCATCAGTCAACTGGGTAAAAATGAATGTTTTAAAATCCTTGCTACTAATTTTCAAGAGTCACTTGAAGACCTTTTGATGCTAGCAGGCCTATTCAGTTGTTTAAATTTCCTTAAGATGAGTCACTCATTTCTACGATTGTTTTGTATTGCTTTAATGGTATTTTACGCTCTTACTGTATCTGCATATGTTGATATATACCAGCTTGGTATTATATACAAATGAGAGGTTTAGAAGCATTTTATAAAGAAAGAAAGAAAGAAACTTCAACTTACATCATCAGTTCTGCAGTCCAGTCCTTGTCTTGCTCAATGGGATGTTTCAGTGCAGGCACAATCTGGTAGAGGCTTGGAATAAGATAGTGGCGAAACCCAGGCTTAAGAAATGGCCTTACAATCCTCCAGTATATAACCGAAGCATTATGTATCAAAAAATAGTACCTGGAATACAATAGAGTACACATTATGATATTGTGCAGGGATGAAACGGACTCGGGGCTTCTTTGCCCCACCAAGTTCTTGCTGTCAACTTCACTGCATCATCTATTTAATGGGTGGCCAACCTGAGGCAAGAGGCCCATGCAAGGTGGTCTGTGTGACAGACCTGAAATGAACATAAAGCTGGGCGGCTTCCAGCAAATTATTAAAATACAGTAATTCATCAAATATTAAAAGCTTCCCTAAACAGGGCTGCCTTCAGATGTCTTCTAAAAGTTGGATAGTTGTTTATTTCTTTGACATCTGGTGGGAGGGCATTCCACAGGGCAGGCACCACTACTGAGAAGGCCACTCTACCTGGTTTCCTGTAACTTCACATCTCGCAGTGAGGGAACTGCCAGAAGGCCCTCAAAGCTGGGCCTCAGCATCCGGACTGAACAATGGGAGTGGAGATGCTCCTTCAGGTATGCTGGGCCGAGGCTGTTTAGGGCTTTAAAGGTCAGCACCAACGCTTTGAATTGTGCTCGGAAACGTACTGGGAGCCTTTCAGGACCGGTGTTATGTAGACTTGGCGGCCACTCCCAGTTACCAGTCTAGCTGCAGGATTCTGGATTAGTTGTAGTTTCCAGGTCACCTTCAAAGGTAGCCCCACCTTGATTTACAATGTTTACTCTCTAAGAATTAAATGTTGCCGGTGGCCGTTATGCAGCTTTATTTTCACATAAGCTTCTAATTTCTGCAATTTTCAAGTAACTGAAATTCTCCTTGCTACTCATTTGTATCCTATAATCATGGACTATTATGTTTAATATAAAAGTAAGGACTAATAAAGGTATCTTAATTTGGGAGGATGGATCCCATTTGATCGAATACGGACATGATCTTCATTGTTTTGCTGCAACACGTCAGCTCTGAACTAAAATAGCAAATATATTGATTACTGTTTGGGGTGCATTTTTGAAAACTGTGGTACAATGATTCAATTCAATCTTCCACACTGTGATATCATTGTTCTAGTCAAGAACCATACTTCAGAAATATTGCCTGGTGGAAACAAAGAAACCCACAAAGAATGCCCCAAATGGAAACCAAATATAGAGGACTTACCTTGCGTTACCTAATGCAAAGTCTACTACTTTCAGCAAATGTACAATGAATTTGTCAAATTGTTCCTAAAACAAAACAAAATATATTTAAAAAAAAATATCTGGGAATGACTCAAAGCCTTTATTACTGACTTAGTATGACTTGAAACTTCTATACACTCTATTTTTTAAAAATTAAAAAACCCCCAACATATATGTTGTGCATATTAGCTCTTGAGCCAGCTATAACTCCCTCCCCTCCTCTCTGCTTCAGTACACCCACACCTATGTCCTATCCAACAACATCATTTTCTGTATCCTTCAGAAAGGCTTTTCATGGTGTGCAACGGTGGGAGGAGGGAATGGAAAACAACTGGTTCCAAAGATTTATCTTTTCTTAGAAGGCAAATCATACTGTTTACTATATAACATGGAATTTTGCCTTCACCTGATCACAACAAAAGAACAGCCTTAAAATCAACACCCAAACTCACAGTACATGCTCACCAAATTATCAGTAGACACAGGGGTATATAATTGGCTCTTGCACAAATATGCTCTACCCAAAAACTGGTTAACTGGAGGTTTTCCTTTAAAATACATTCGTAGACAGTCATTGCTCATGTCCGGAAAACCCATCTAAAATTAAGCAGATTTCAGTTTTAAATTAAGATGAACAAACACCTCATAAAGTAAAAAGGGGTGTATTGTTACAAAAGGGGTATACTGTTACCTTATAAGCCTGTTCGGCACACATGACATACAAGTCAAAAGAGAAACTCTCCAAGGCATCAAGGGCTGATTTCCCATCATTAGCTGATTTGATCAATTTGTAAGCACTCTTCAGTGCTTCAACATCTTGAAAATAAAATTTTAGTTAGGCAGAAAATAACATAACCATTTCGAACAAATACCTGTTTTATTTTCATAATGTAAACAATCAGACGTATCCAAACAAAACACAATCCTATACTCCTCAGTCTCATTAAGTTCAAGGGGACTTACTCCCAAGTAAGTATGTATATGATTGCATCCTAACACAGTAAACTGTTTTGGACTATCAATATGTATCAGGGCAAATCTGCATGATCATTAACTAGGATTTGTTTTGATCTGATGTTTTCTGTCGTGTCAGTTCCAGCAAAATATAAATGTGATAAAGCAGTTCCCTGAGCAGTTCTCCACAAGCCTTGACTTGAACCAGTGCTATTTTTCTAGAACCCTTGTTTTCTAGAACCCTCATCATGAACCCTTGTTCTCTTATAATGGCAATGGCACCCACCTGAGACGTGCTGGAACTGAGTTCTGGCGGAAAAAAAGCCCATATGTTTTGCATGCAATAAGTCCCAGTTTCAACTCCTCACATCTCCTATTAAAATATTTCCGAAAGCAGGTCTGTGAAAGATGCTTGCCTGAGACAGTTACTGCCAGTCAGAGTAGACAATGCTGGCTAGAAGGATCAATAGCCTGTTGCAGCATAAGATGCAGCTGCACAGTTCAGGTGTGACTTTCAATGCACCATCTATTGTGGTGTCGCCAATAGTCTAAGGTGTGGCAAATCATTCAGACTGCACCACATGCAAGCCACCAGAAAACATGAGCCAAAACAAAATGAGAAATATTTTTGATCGTGGAAACTGGGTGTCAGTTCCCTATGAGGAGCAACCATAACATACCACTCTTAAGACTTGCTATTTCTATGCTGCCAGTGGGGGTATACCATAGCTCAGCATGCCTGAAATGAGTTTCAGCACACTATGATATCAGGATATTCTGAAATATGTATGCACTCTATATGTAAGATAAATAGACATAAGGCTATTTAGGGCAAAGCACAGTTAGAATAACAGAATCATAGAATCATAGAGTTGAAAGGGAACCGAGGGCCATCTAGTCGAACCCCCTGGAATGCAGGAATCCTGCCCACAGCTATCCCTAGGTGGGCTCAAGCCATCAACTTTCTGGTTAACATCTGTCTCTCTCCCTCCGTCCCCCACTCTCTGTGGCTTTTTATCTAAACAGAAAGAATTGTATTATACATAGGATTTTATTACACAATGTTAGCAGCAATCCTATGCACATTTACCTAGGAATGCCCCAATCTGTATCTAGGAGTATCTGTATCTATGGGGAGAGTACCTAGTCTATTTGAGTACATGGAAAAGAAAGAGTCAACATTATACATCTTTATAAAAGAGAAAGATGGTTAGTAACATTTACCTTGATGTCTCTCAGCATCTGACAGGTGCTGCCTGATTGCTATCTCCATATCTTCTTAGTTGTAACTTTGCCCTAAATCTGCTAGCAGGAAAGTAATTAAACAAAACAATATTAAATATAAACATGTTTTTAAAATGTTGACAGTAACGAACACAAACTTCTAAAAAGTTTTACATTTTGGTTGCCTGTTTCATAACTTTTCCACATTCATTCTTTCATCCACTCTATAGGAGACCACAATAACTATGGCTCCAATCCTAAGTACACTTATATGAAAGTAAATCGCATTACAGTACAATCCTATACATGCTTACCCAAAAGTAAGTCCTACTTAGTGCAATGGGTCTTACTCCCAAGTGAGTGGTTTTTGGATTGCAGCCTTTGTGGTTTACATGAGATCAGGCCACAAGACTGCACAGTCACATTTACTCAAGAGTAAGCCCACTGATGGGACACAGGTGGCACTGTGGTCTAAACCACTGAGCCTCTTGGGTTTGCCGATCAGAAGGTCGGCAGTTTGAATCCCCACGACGGCATGAGCTCCAGTTGCTTGATCCCAGCTCCTGCCAGCCTAGCAGTTTGAAAGCATGCCAAAAAGTGCAAGTAGATAAATAGGTAACACTCCGGCAGGAAGGTAAATGGCGTTTCCGTGCGCTGCTCTGGTTTCGGTGTTCCATTGCGCCAGAAGCGGCTTAGTCATACTGGCCACATGACCCAGAAAAACTGTCCATGGACAAACGTCTACTCCCTTGGCCTGTAAAGCGAGAGGAGCGCCGCAACCCCAGAGTTGTCTGTGACTGGACTTAACTGTCAGGGGTCCTTTACCTTAATCTTTTTAAGCCCACTGATAGATGCAAAGGACTAGGTCTGCTTTGAAAGCTTGCAAAAACAAAAGTGCCATGGTACTGAAGACATTTGCAAGCTTCCTAAACTCAAAGCTGTTTACATTGTTGGTGTCATTTTTTCATTAAAAAAGCACAACTGCAACCATTGATAATTAAACAAAAGCAGCTTATCAATTAAAAAACAAACAAAAAACTACTACACCCCTTGCCCATCCTCATCATCTCAACTGCAAACGCCACGTGATGTAGGTGAATTTTGCAAAGCCTCCGGAATGCCATCAACAAATACGCCCTGTTCCATTCATTCATTCATTCGTTTCATTTTTAATACAGAGACAGAAAAGAAAAAAAAACCACCCCATCCCCTCCCCCGCCCCCACAGTTGAACAACTTTCATATCAATCTCGACATACAACTAAATACCTGGTGACTCCCCTTCCACCCTTTTCCTGGTTTCTTTATTTTTTCTATTAAATGACATATTCCAAATTTTTACTCTTCAGATTTCTTCCTCCGTTAAATTCTATTCACTTCTGTTCTGCTGGATTGACTCAAAGACCTGCTAGGTTATTTACTTGTTTATACTGGTTCTTAAAAACACTCAGTAGACACTATCCAACCCTCCTTATATTCTTTATCCTCCTTTTCTCTTGTCCTATTTGTTATACCTGCCAATCCAGCATATGTATTCGAACATTTTTACGCCCTGTTCCTTCAAGGAGAATGCACAGATTCCAGAACCATTCTGTGTCTTGTCTGTTTTTCCATGACTTTTTTTTTAAACATAGTTCTGAACACCAAGCAGGTGTGTATGCAGACACACACACTAAAAATTATATATATACACACACACACACACATATATATATATATATATACACACCCACACATACACATACACCCACACACATATATTGCAATATATAATACATATATGTATATATATGTGTGTGTGTATACAGTATATGTGGGTGTATATATATATGTGTGTGTGCTATATATATATATAATATTGCTATACACCCACACATTGCAATACACACACACACACACACACACACACACACGATTCTTTCCCCCCGGTTTCACTACCAACCTGGTTTCCCTCCTGCCTCGCCCCCCGCCTGCTAACATGCTATTGCCCCTCTGGAACCCCAGGAGCAACTTCAAGCCCGCCGCTCTTCCGCGTCCCTCGGTCTCCTAGCAACGCGCCACCGGCTACCGAGTCACTCTCATGCCCGCCCACTGCCCTACGGGTCCTTGCGCAAGTCACAATTCCCTCGCAAGCGCAACGTTTTCCCCCACCGTGGCCCGCGACGCTAGTAGGCAGAGCCGTGCGTCTTCCGTTGTCTGAATGGGAAGTTGCCGCGTTCTCATAGAATAAACCAGAGCGGGAAGCGGGGGAAGAGGAGCAGAACAAAACGAAAATAACGGGGAATCCAACCTGAAACAAAAGGGAAGACCCCGCACTTCCCAAAGCAAGCTTATTTCGTGTGAAACGCTCTTGAGTTTCTGTAGCGCTGCCTGTGCAAATTCGAATTTGGGTGTGATATGTCCATATTGCAGGATCGCACGGATGCTGGTGGTGGGACTAGACAGTCCCTGCGTAAACTACTGCTTCACCTTTATTTATTCATCCAGTGTTGTACCTTTATTATGTAATCCAGTGTTGCTCGGGTCGGGCAAAGGCTGAGAGAAAGAAGCAAAGAACAAACTAGGAAGGTGGTCCAGTGCTAGTATTAGAGGCTAGAGGCGAGGTTTGCGATTTCCAGCCCGTAAACACTGCTCAGGTTTTAGTCTGCTTAACTTGCGACCTCGGAATCCTGCCCAGCCCAATCCAGAAGTCTTGAGGTCCCCTTGACCTGCGTGCAACTAGCATTCAAGGACAGACTGCCTCCAGTGGAGGTAAAACATAGCCATCGCGGCCAGTAGTCGTTGACAGCCTTATTCTACGTGAATTTGTCTAATCCTGTTTTTAAGGGTATCCCAAGTTGGGGGCATCGCTACCTCTCGTGAGAGCGAGTTGTACAGTTTAGCTGTGCCCAGCGAGAAGAAGGGAAGAAGATTCATCTGCCCTGAGTCTTCCAACATTCAACTTCATTCAGTGGCATAGCGTGGGTTGTCAGCACCCGGGGCAAGGCAAGTAATTTGTGCCCCCTAACCCGTGGATTTGTGCCCCCTAACCCCCAGACGTTGCACCCGGTGCGGCCGGCCCCCCCTGCACCCCCCACGCCACTGACTTCATTGGATGGTCCCAATTTCTACTATTTTAAGAGAGGGAGAAAAACTTTCCTCTATCCACTTTCTCCACTCCATGCATCCTTTATGCAAATTACTGCATCATAGCTCCTCTCATTTGCCTTTTCTCTAAACTAAAAACCCCTGTATATTTTAAGCTTTTCTCATTGGGGGGGGCATTGCTCCATCCCTTTCATTGTTTTGGTTATCCTTTTCTCAACCATTTCCAGCTTCTTTATTTATTTTATGAAAATCCAAAAAGTGCATACAAAATACTCCAAATAATAGTAAGATAGGTACCATGCAAGTATTTTTTGGAGAGGGCGTTCCACAACCAGAGTGCTGCTTCCAAAAAAAAGCTCTCTCCCATAAGCTATGAGAGAAGGCAACTGGGACAATTATATTCTTATGGATAAAGGAAAGACATTTCCTTTTGTTATGTAGGTGGCTGGCTCATAATTGGAAGACGTAGCAATTCTATCTGTTTTAAGTGCTGGTGTATTTGAAATATTGCAGATGTTACCAAAAAAAATCCATCAATCTTGAGTGCTCATTTCTCAAGAAGACACCAGAATCTGGGTTGCAGTGTCTTGGAACTTCTCACTCCTTGGGATGACTTGGAGCACATGCCAAATTGCATCCCTAAAAAGTAAAAATAGGTATTTGTAATAGAAGCAGATTCTCTCACAGCAAAACCTGCTTACTGAAGAACTACATTCCAGATGGGTGGGGTTTAAATAATAAAGTTGTTGTTGTTGTTGTTGTTGAGAATAATGACAGTGACTGGGTGGGAGCGTTGGTTATTAAATCATTACAGTAACCAAGTCCCACAGCACAGATAATCCCCTTGGAGAAACCTTTTGATAGAGAGAAACTCTGAAAAATTCAAAAAATTCTTGTATGATTCAAGTAATTTAGCCACTGCCCAAAGCATTATTTTTATGCAGTACTGCAATATGTGGACTTCATGTATTTCCCTAAAATAAATGTCGCAGTAACGAGCACATAATAAATACATAGCCTTCAGATTGAAAAAGCTATTTGTTAGCGAAAGCTGTGATCGATAGTTTCGTATGACTGAGAGGATCACGGCAGGGCATTATCAACATTGACATGCATCTGTGCTTTGGTACTTGTTCTATGATAAAATTATTTGAGATGAAAGCAACGCCACCAGTGACTACAGCTATGGGCTGAGATCACTTGTAATTGCAAATGACATCTGGATCATATCTACTGATAGAGACAACAGCCACTGGGTATGAATGATCATCTTTTGAATCATAAAGCATTGGTATATCTAGGCTCCTTTCACAGTATATCAGCCAAGCATGCTGCAGAGATGGAAAAATATTTCACAGAAGAGAGGTACTGAGCAGAGATATTGTCAGAGTTAGATTGCATACTGTAGAACTCCTCTGACCCTGGTGACATCAATTCCAAAGGGATGCAAAACGAAATGTAGGTTTGGGCTATTCCTCTAGCTGCACTACAGGAATGGCTTGTTGGGATTTATAGTGCGGAGATCATTGTGTAAACAAGCTCAGAATAAATGCCGAAGCTGGAGGGAATTTAACACGTTCAATTTTCCAACCATCTTTATCTCTCATATACAAGGAAGGCAGGAATTCAGCAAAGGATGTTACAATAGCATACATAAATTGTGGTGGTTTATGGCACCATCATGATATATGGTGCCTGCAAGAGCAAAAAACATGGCCCTTCCCTAATGTCTCCTTGGACAGTCAAGATGAATAGGAAGGGGGCAAGTAAAAGACCACAAGATCGGCAAGATGGGGGGGGGGGTCAAATGAAAGAGGAAAAAGGAGTTCTCAAGGCTCTGGTACCTCCAAACCAGACTGCAGAAATATAGATCTGCCTCTGAAGAAGGTGCAGCAGGTAAAACTAGTACAAAATGGGAGTGCCCAGATAAAAGTGAAGCACAGAAAATCTGAACATGTTCATAGAATCATATAGTTAGAGGGGACCCCAAGGATCATGTACTCCAACCGCCTACCATGCAAGAATATTCCCTTACAGGAATTGAACCTGCGACCTTGGTGTTATCAGCACCACGCTGTAACCAACTGATTTCGCCAGTCACTTTCTGGGCCCCACTTTCTGGGCCCCATTCAAAATGCTGGTTTAGAGCATTAAAACCTTAAGCCACTTGTGTCCAGATTATCTGTAGAACTGGGCTGCCCTACGTCCGGATTTTCCCATTTTGCCTATTTCCGCCCGGACACTGCTGCCGACTGCAGTATTCCAGTTATGTCTGGGAGATTCTGGACACATGGCAACCATATGCTAAGAACTACCTCAGTGGTCCTTCTTGAATGCTGGCTGTTAATATCAGCCAGGTTGTCATGAACAAAAGAAAGGGCCTTCTTGGTGGCAGCTCTAAAACTATGCCCCTCTCTTCCAGTGGATCAAACTCTGTCATTTAGTGGGCCTTGGAGACCTTACTCTTCACAACTGCCTTAAATTGGGACCATAAATAGCTTGAGGCTCCAAAGCAGTTTCTCTGTACGCTTGATCTGTTATTCTATCCTTGTTTCACACGCCACTTTGTGTGAGGGTGCTTCTGAAAAGCAGCTTAGAACATTTAAAATAAATAAGAATAGCAAGAGAAAGTGGTTGGAGTCATTTAAAAAAGCAGCAGACCCTTGAACCAACCATTCCAACTATATTTTCTGGACTTTATCTCATTCTCATATATATATGTGTATATATTTATATTTGCCCTGTTCTATCTCCCAAAAAAGCTCAGGGCCTTTTAAAGGGGTGGGGTGCAGCAAAACAACATATTTAAAACATCCAAAAATATTTAGAAATATTATTAGCAACATATAAAAACAAATTTAATCTTACAGTAAAAGTTGCAACAAAATTTCTTGGCCTGGCCTTGCCAGTTAAGACATTTTTAAATGTTGAAGAGCTCGATGCCATGGCGTATACCATTGCAGTGATTCTTCATTGTGTGATACGCATTACATTCTTAAAGAAGTACTTTAATGCTATAGCACAGCAACTCTTCAAATTATCTATTTCTTTCAACGGAAACAAAAGTTAAAGTGCCCTAAGGGTCTAAGCATGAAGGTAAGTGATGTGGAAGCTGCAGCTTGAACTATCTATTACTGGAATTAAATATGAATGAAACACTGCTTCTCTATTTTCAAAGTTTGGCACAAGGCAGTTTCAGTTTTAATGTTTATTACATAAAAATGTATGTAATAAACATTCCTTTTATTTTATTGATTGACCTTTCCTTGCTGTCAAACCACAGCTAAAAGCCTTTGAGCAAAGTATTTGTTACTAAAGAAATATACAACATCCCTGAACTATAATTCTGATAGCAGAGGATGGGGAAGTGGGTCTAAAATTTCTCCAGCCTCGTGAACAAATGATTGAAACCGTTGAAGTTCACATTACCAAGTATCCATTTTGTTCTGCACTGGCGGCTGAATATCCAGCAAACAGGAATTGTGTATGAAGTGCCAGTTACTTGTTACAAGTAACCTACTCGAGGATTTCCCCTACAAAATATCCTGTTAGGATGGATCACCACCGAAGCCTGCTTCCTTGCTGAACCCAGGTACCTGGGTTTCAAACTCTGATCACTTTAAGTAAAAAGGGGAGCACAGTACATATTAACAAGTAGGAACCTACAAGAAAATGTTGTAGTGTGAGTCTTCTAAATAGCCAGCCAGCTACGCCCCATATGCCATCTTTCCAGGATACATCGTTCCAATTCACTCTTGCTTCTCAGTCCCATTGGCACTCCCCAGCTGAGCTTGCTGTTGGAGTCCACATGGAAAGATTTACCCGTATTTAAATGTAGAAATGAAGGAAAGCTGGAAAGGAAAATAGCAGATTGGAATGAAAATAGTATTATTTTCTCGTGTGTCAGCTTCTGGCAATTAAAATGGACTGTTAAAAGACATGAATAATAATAATTTGAATAAGAAAATAGTCATTTTAATGAAAAATGCTATTCTATCCTAGTAGATATAATCACGCCATTTACCAACAAGGTAGGAAACTGTTTAATAATAATAATAATAATAATAATAATAATATTTATACCCCACCCATCTGGCTGGGTTTCCCCAGTCACTCTAGGCGGCTCACAACAGAATATTAAAAACATTAAAAACTTCCCTAAACAGGGCCGCCTTCAGATGTCTTCTACAAGTCAGATAATTATTTATTTCCTTGACATCTGATGGAAAGGTGTTCCACAGGGCGGACGCCAGTACCGAGAAGGCCCTCTGCCTGGTTTCCTGTCACCTCACTGCTTGCAGTGAAAGAACAGCCAGAAGGCCCTCGGAGCTGGACCTCAGTGTCCAGGCTGAACAATGGAGGTGGAGACAGTCCTTCACGTATACTGGGTCTAAGGCCCACAGTCTCTTGCAGGAACCTTCTGGAGGCCAGCTGAATGATGCTCCAGGACCAGTGGTAGTTCATGGGCCACAGTTTGGGAGCCCCTGTTGTATAGATTAGACCCTAGCCCAGTGAAAATAGACAGCAATAACTTTAACTAATATGAGGGAGCAGAGAAGTTCCATAGCTTTAGCTCATTGATAAAGGACACAACAGAGCACTTGTGTGCAAAAAAATCCCAGGTTTAGTCCTCAGCATCTCCAAACAGGGTTGAGAAAGACCCTTCTCTGAATCCTGAACAGCAACTGTTTCCTCCCAGTGTAGAGGAGCCCATCCCCTACACTACTGAGCTAAATGGACCAATGGTATGATGTGGAATAAGGAATTTTCCAATGTTCCATTTATGTTACTTTTCTATATTGTTTAGATGGGCTCCTCTATTCAAACACAAGATATGCCTAAGGGGTAACACTGCCAGTCAGAAACAATCAAGCAAGCAAGTGGCTTATGCACCATTTGGCTGATCTTTCACATTGCTTCAATTTACTGTGGAGAGAAATCAATTGATCCTTTTTTGGGGGTTAAGCATAAACTTGAAAAGAAACATCAGGCATAACTCATGTTGATTCTGAACACTGCTGCATTGTCAAATTTCCAAAGCCTGGATATTTGGGGCAGGGGGGAACAGGCGAAATGAAGATGGTAGTGAAATGTTAAGCAAATATTATACAAGTGTACAAGTGCCACTGGGACAATTTATCCTGGTTTTGTGTGATCTGTCATGCAGCACCACAGGACAAATAAAGATGCTGTGCATCTCTATCCTTGAGAAAAATTATATGATATACTCCTGGATTAATCTCTCCCAGCTTTAACAGAATAGTCATTTCGGCATCTATTTATGATCACACATCTACTAGCCCCTTAGGAAAGATCCTTTCATAATGGAGAATCTGTTACCTCACAGTGGAGAAGAAAAGCATGACTGGAGCATCTTCTGCACTATACGAAGCTGGAGCAAAAACCATATACTGTACAGTCAAATTAGAGCAGACATTTATTCTTAGACTCTTTTGTGGGGGGCCCATAGGAACAAGCAAGCCTTCGCCCTAAAATCTTCCTACCTAGATCCCATCTGCACTATACATTTGAAGCAGTATCATGCCACTTTAAACACCGCCCTTACAAAGCTACAAATTTCAGAGTGGTTTAACTATCAATCCCTCTTCCCAGAGAACTCTGGGAATCATCGTTCTGTGAGGGGACTACGGGGTCTCCTAAACAACTCTCCGCACTCTTAACAAACTACAACTCCTAGGATTCTTTGGGGAAAGCCATGACTGTTTGAAGTGGTACAACACTGTTTTAGCTGTATAGCACAGATCGGGTCAGATTCTCGCATTATGGCAGGGGTGTTAAACTTTTCTGGGCCTGAGGGCCAAAATCCTCTGGGGACCAGTGGTGGTTGTGGCCAACCCAGACTGTTGTGTGCACACTGTGATATGTATACGCACAGGAGAGATGCATACAAGACATATGCACGGACCTCTCCACCTGCCCTTTGTCTCTTGTTTTCTTTTTGCCATCATGGCCAAAATCACAGAGGCAGAAAAAAAGTGGATCTGCTTGCGGGCAGGAGCAGATCAGGTGCTTTGTGTGGAGCTGCCTTTAAGATTGGTCTGGAGGCTACAGCTAGTGGCAGCACCCTAACCCTAGCCCTTTCACAAATATGCAACAAATGTGCAACACTTTTGTTAGAGTCAATTGCACTAGCTTCCAATATGGTGTTGAGCCAAGATCAAGGTTTTATTGTTAGTGTATAAGGCCATAAACAATGGGACCCTCCTAATGGCGCCATATGCCCTAGCAGTTCATATTGCGGATACCAATGCAGAGTCTTGAGCACAGTGGCTCCTGTTATTCAGAAAACCTTTCTCCTGGACCCATGATCACATGCTTTTCTTTTTTACCCATACTTTTCCAGGTAAGTCTGTGGGACAAGTATACTGCAGGGTATTGTATGTATGTGAAATCACTGCATTTTGTTAAGCACTTTATATATTCAATCCTAAATAGATATGTAAAATAACACACTTATCCGGAAGTCTTTCTGAACTCAGTAGGACCCACTTCTGAGCAGGCTTAGATGTCAGACTTTGCCATTGAACCATCATGCACAGGATTGACCTGAATTTGCTCCAAAGCACATTACTAACACTTGTTGAGTCAGACAGTTTGATGCCTCCAAAAATTGTCCACTATGTTTTCAAAGTATTTTAGTGTACATTTCTTTTGAGGAACTTTAATTGTTTTAGCCTGCATTCATATATATATTTACCTATTTAAGGTATTATAAAAGCTTGTCCTGCAATTTCTTTATTTCTTTTACATCTTTCATCTTCTTTCCCCACACATTTTCTTTAAAAGTTTTAGCTATCAAGAGTAAAATGCATTTTGTATAAATTGTGTTATATCTTCCCTTAGTATCACCTGAAACCCTAAATGATTTGCCTCTTTTCTCTTATTCCATTGCCTGAGGCTGCTTGAGCATTAGATATGGAAATAGAGATTGCAGTTTGGCTGTTTCATAAATCCTGAAGCATATTACATTAATGCAGTCTGTTTGATGCTACATGCAAAATTGGCAAGTACAGCAGGTGCAGAGTACAGCTTATCGAGAATGCAAATTTATAAGTATGATTGCTTCCAGATGACCTGTC